ACATCGGTAGCACCGGACTTCAATGCTCTCATAATTGGGGTTAACCCGCGGAAAAAAGCATTGACGTCGGCGTGACATCTCAGCATAGCCTTTGCCAGAGACCGATTGTTGGTTTCGGCTGCCAGATGCAACAGATTGCTGTTCTGATGTTTGATATTGAACTCGATGAAGGTGCATTGCAGTCTATGGTGTAAATTGCTGCATGATTCTCTCAAGGCGATGATTGCCTTGCCGTCCAGGCTTGCTGCAATCATGAGCAATATTTCATTGGGCAAGCCCCGAAGATGTGGCTGTAATTGTAGATGAGTATCCAAGCCGAGCAGATCAATGGAAAATCCATGCACGCACCGTATTGTGTAGAGATCGAGAGAGTGAAGAGGCTGCTTGTGGTAGAAGAGCACTTTTATATCATGCTCCCTTAGCATCGCCATTGCCCAGCTCTGAAGAGAGGGTGACCGACGCCGTTACTGGCTGGCAGGGACAATGAAGCATAAGCACGAAGGGATGTGGTCATATAGGTCCTCAACCCGTAATTGAGGGTCCCGGAGTCGTTACTAGTATTCCTAGGATCAAATTGCGTCCCAGGAGCACCCAAATTGTCTCCAGGAATACCTAAACGGCTTATACACTACCGACTTTTTTCAATCGCGATATGCCATAGTGACTATGAAGAGGCAAGCTCAGGTGCAACGTAAGCCTGGTTCCCTGGCTGAATCATGCTGCACATACTCAGCTCTACCCTCCTCTGCATCGAAGGGCATCGTCTAGAAGCCAGCGATCAGCAACGGCCCTGCCAGCAGCATGCAAACGTAACGCATGAGGAATGCTCTGTGGCGCTACATACCGTCCACTGCCTGGAACACCAGTATGTTGAAACGGCGTAGAAATCTATAAATGATGGGCGCTGCCGGGTCTAGTTAAGCCAAACAGTCTGCTTATCAACCACATTTGGTCATCCGCATACAGCTGGAAGCCATCAGTGGTCTGTGAGATCGTATCGGATCACTTGGTCAACGAAGCACCTGTTGCGGGATCACAAGACAGGGCAAAGCCTGCAAGAATCAATGGAAAACCAAGAGTACCAGCAAAGGCCATCAGAATGACCGGATTTCCGAGGAATACATTTGATCTGGCCGGACTGCAGTCTGCACTCTGCAAAATTGGAGACTGCTTTCTCTGCAAGCGATGGCCCCGAAATCGACAGTGGAATCGTGAGCCCTCGCCTATCAGCTTCCTCAGTGACCCTAATGTGTCCAATCATGGTCATTCATGGGTTGCTCCCTATATCACGACTGCGATGCTGCGAGCAAACAATGTTCCATGGCATGTGTCGCCGGCCCAGCCAGCGATCCTTCCATTCGTCACGAACATCTGGGAAGGTGTGCAAGATTTTGAGCTCCACAGCGTCACTCCCAGTGACGAAGTTGACAACATCCACTGCATGTTCTGTTTGGCCGAGGATGGTGATCAAGTCGATGAACGCGTGGTTTTGCGGTGCGTCGAGTGCAGGGGGCTATTGCACCTGGCCTGTACAGAGGAGTGGCTGGGAAAGCGCGACACAGGACGTGGTACATGCTGCATTTGGCAAGTAGTTCACTGGAGTATTTTGGTTGTGGAATGCTGATCACGCGTAGTCGAATCGAGACCGCCTTGGACGCCCTCCACCGCCCGCGGACCCCTCGCTGCGAACCGCAGAACACTCCGAAGAAACCGTCGCGACGGTTCGTCACGACAGAGCTGTTGGCATGGACGCCACGCAGCCACGGATCGACCCCACTTGGACGGGAGAATTACCTCCTCAGCCAGCCGGGACGAGGCAGCGTCGCAGAACATCCACAACAGCGCCGGGCGCATCACATTGTCCCGGCCGATCAGCTCGACTACAAAGAGAGTCTCCCGTGACAGAAGGCTCTCACGCCTCTCTCACGTTTCGTCGGTCGGCCCGACTAGGCTTATAAGTTTCGGAATGGTGGGAAGAATTGGTATGGCAAGGTGAAAATTGCGAGTCTTGTGATTAAATCATGGCTGTAGTCTAATTCATACGAAAGCTAGATCAAAACTTACCTCAGCAATAGAACAGTTATAAGGACGTGATAAATGTCAGTCTAGCTATTAAATCTCTTCAAAAGTGCGAAACCTTTAGCCTTTTGCACGATTCAGGATATGACATGCCGCTCGTAAGAGCCGGGACCGGGCTAGTGGGCACCACGAGGGATTCTTCGTGCTGGAAACCGACAGAGGGAAGCACAGTAGGATCGCATGAAACCAGACTACTCTCGTGGATGCTGGTGCCAGGGATCAACTTCTCCGACGGCAGGCCGTAGATCGCCGACTGTTCATTCACGCAGATCATCGCGTAGTATGCGGTGGAGTGGTCTAGTTCGGCAAAAACGCACCATTGAGTCGTTCGAGGGGACAATCTGCTGGCGGCATCCACATGCTGCGAAGTTGGTCTCAGTCAGTGTTTCGGAGCTCAGCTCAATCTGACCACACATGATTGGTGGGACAGACTTGCCCGTTTCGGAATGAAGGAGCTCCGCGTCAGCGCCACAGTGCTCTGCATGAAGAATGACTTTGTATTCTGGCCCACCTCCATATCTCTGCACTGTGTCCGCTGCATTCTCATCCCAGGTGAAAAGCAGACTGCTGGCATGAAGGCTGATTTGGATATTATGTGGGAACCACTGCAGCAGGCGTCTGATATGGCGAATGTACCGGTTCTCTGTGATCCGTGACATTGGGGATGCTGTAAAGAGTGAAGGAATCGAGAGAACCAGTAATTCCTCCACAACGTCTCGCCATGAAACGGGTGCATACTGCCCATCGATGGTCGTCGGGACCACATTGCGGCATGCGGCCTCTTGGTCCGCACTGTCCAAGTCCCACCATTGAAGTGGAATTCTTAGGGTCCGTTCTGCAGCATGGTAGAAAACATCGAGTCTTCCGGCCATGTCTTCGACGTAGAGGACTTTCATCCCGCGGCGTTCAAGAATGTCAAGCAGGCCCTGAACGCCCGATCGATCGTCTTCGCAAAGGCCGTATTGGGCAGGGCACAGATCGCCGCATGTGTGTAACGTCGCTGTTGCTCCTCCTCAATTGTCCGGATGGGTGTCGCCGAGCGAAGGAGCTGCCAGAAAGTCTCCGGGAGTGGGGTCGGCTTTTTGCCGGTGCATGCTCGGATCGCATTTACCGTCTATCTCAAATTAGCATCTGACACCGCTGAAGTAGGTTTGTACTGACCTGCAAACTGATTTCCGCACTGTGAAAGAAGAGCTTCTTCCTTGAAGCACGCAGCATATGCTCCCAAATGCGGGTCTTGGTCGATGGCTCTATCAGTCTTTCTGCTTGGTCCACATCGCCGAAGTACGGATACTTCCGGAGGAGGTTGACATAGCTTGGGAGTAGGTCTGTCTCACGCAAGGATAACGCATACTCCCAGATCTGTCGTACGAGGTCCGCCAGGTCAAGCTGGCTGATCAGTCCTTGTCTGTCTCGGCTAAACTTCCCACACGCGAAGTTGTAGCCGTACTTGAAAACCTTGCCGCCAGCAGGATGCATGGCGAGCCGGACCCCATGCAGGAACAGCTTACCAGAGTATTTGGGATCGAGCAGTAAATCTCCCTGGGGGGTCTGTACCATCGACATGGCGGAGATGAGTCCGTGCATGTCAAGTGTGACCCGTAACCATCGCAGGAAGGTCTTGGGTGACACCGGTCGGCTTTGATTGCCCCGACCCGCGCCTATCATCACGGTGACATCTCGTTCTATACGGGGGCGCAAGTTAGCCATATCATCCGCGGCTGCTGGCCAGTCGCTGTGAGATATCTTACGTGCCGCCGTGATGACGCAGCGAAGAGACTGCTGCGGCCCTTGCAGCCCGAACTTCCAATTGCAGTGACTTGCGGCGATGCTCATTTGAAACTGCTGTCGATTCATGACCAACGCAGCCAGTTTGAGACCATCTCCGTGCGAGCCACTCAGTCGGTTGTCTCTGTCTCTGGTCGAGTGTCCCATGACGAGAGACTCGATGGGCAGCTGGGCGCATGCATTGGCGAGGGTAACTCGACCGGTGTGTTTCTCGTACTTGATGAATCCTCGAGCGAGGGGGTCCGCGTGATCTTTCGGGGCCGACGAGCCTATGATGGCGAAGTGATCGTCATCGTCGTGAAAAGATAGCTTCAAGTCGCGGCGGTCTAGCTGGAATGTTTCCAGAATGGCATCTCTCCTACTCGGTGTCAGCAAATCTCCCAGCGGGCGGCTCGGTACGTACCAGTTTTGATATAGCTCGCGGAAGGCATCGGTCGTATCCCAGTCCTTCACGTATGCAGGGGAGATTCCGAAGACAACGGTCTGCTGTGTCGGCTGATCTGCGATGCCGGCGGAAAGAGTATCTGAGATTTGTCGGAGCTCACCGTGAAGTTGTTTGCTTGCTTCATCGCTGATAGAGCTCCCTGGGTCCATGCCAACAGAGTTTGTGGTGTCAAATGGAGTGACTAGACTGGAGTTCTTTCTGGTGGGCAGCCGACGATTTATATGACCTTGGGACGATCTTTCCTCGCGGTATCTCTGGTGAAGGAAGTGGTGAGTTGAGTGGTGAAGCCATAGTGTTTAGTATTGCGAGCCATAACTGGTTCCACATGCATCGCTGTTTAACAGATTAAAAGGATAACTGCATATGTTGAAACTCGTTCACTCGATTGATGGATACTCGATTGAAGGATACTCGATTGATGGAGGCTCGATATTGAATACACTTTGCCCACGAGAACCTGTATCTGCTTGGTTCAGCATGTAAGCTTGTAGATTTGTCACATCAACACTTCCACGGAGTCTGCGAAAACTCGACAGGACTGGTCATTCTTTGTGGCATAAGAAACATACAGAATGGAAACGCGCATTCAAGATTGTTGTGTGTACCCCACGGCCGCATAGCTACAAGGTCCATCTTCTAAATGGCGTTATGAACAGTGCAAACAGCTAGATCTGATTGGCCGACATGATCACGATCGCGCGATGGGTCTGTGAGTTGACGTGGTGCGGATGTCTCTCATCTCCAACAGCTCGGTGAGGACACAAGCTTTCATCCGCGAAGTGCCTCCGAGCCAAAAACTGAGCTTTGCCTCGATGAGCATTGACCCTTGAGTCTCATCATTGATCATCGACAGAAACAAATTGTCAAAGAACCCAGAGCCAGCCTCTCCTTCCACCTCAAGTCTCGTCGGATCAACGGCTGCCGCCATCCAGATATATCCTATGGCGAGATTGAAGCAGGCTGCATTCACGTTGCATGCTGTCACCAGTGTATTGAACAAGGGGCCGAAGGCGATTGCGGGAAGGCCAATGCAGACGTATGCCTTGGCGGCTCTTCGCCCTGCCTGTGCTGCTTCCCTCATCAACTCTGCGCCCTCGATCGACCTAGCATCGACCACGACCGAATCCGACACCCAATATTCGGTGGACCAGCTATACAGAGCCGGGGGAGGAGCAGTTGCCACGGGGTTCCACAATCGGAGCGCCAATTTTCTGATGCTTGAGATATTTTTCGTTCCTGCGGCCCCAAGAATGATGAGCCTCCTGTCCTTCTCATTGGGCACGCAGGAAATACCCAAGTGATAATCCGAGGACTGCAGGCTGGTCACTTTGGCTAGTGGAAGGACTGTAGTCACACCGAATTCAACCGAAATAAGGACACCATTTTTGTCTGGCTTGTTGACCACAGGTGTTTGGGTAAGGTAGCACATTGTAGCGTGCTATTGATACTCTGTCCGCAAAGCTTCAGCTGTTCCCACTTCCAGACAAGCTCTTCAGTCTTTGAGTAGATATAGGGCGATCTTGGGACGGAGGGATTCTGGGCAGTCGAGGTACTAGATGTCAAACGGTTTGGATGATCAGTATCGTCACTATTCATGCAGAGGGGATGAAACGGGGTCTAACTCGCATCTTTGCCTCCAATCGAAGCGTGCATGAATCTCGTGTGTCCGCATCATGTAAGCGAGGAGATGCAAGACTGCCGTGCTCGGATCTTGTATTCACCTCTAGATGACGGTGGAATTGGACAATCAGTGTTTCATTGATGATCGCGGATGGAGAACAGAGAGAATCAGCTATGATCTTTTGTAGATGATGTGTTAGCCAAGTGTTGGAAAAAATCAATCGCGTCAGAGTCCTCTCTCGAACCAAATGCTGACTGAACAGTAATTGTTTTCAAAATCAACAACCCCATTCCTCATCAGTATGTTGATACGTGATCTTTCAGGCTCAACATGTTGGCAAGTTGAGCGTTGAGATCACTAGAATGAAGGTCTTGCTTTCTCTAGTAGCGAGCCAGCATGTGGCCAGTGCCTCTCTGTAGTCAGAATTGACCTGCTCTTTCACTGGTGATGATGTCGTCTTCATAGAAATGTCAGCCGTAACGTCGGGATTCACCAGACACTTTAATCCCGCCGTGCTATCTAAGGGAAAGTCAGCCCACTCATTAAAGACTGCTAGAGTAGTCTAGGAGCAAAATGATTGTCATGTTGGAGTGGGCTGGAAGGATAAATATGCTGAGAAAAGTCACGTTCCTCTGCATTGGCAGACAAAAGTAGAAAAATAGGTCCTGGAAACAGGTGTGACGACCTGGGGAGCTATTCCGTAGATGATACCCTCTCTGTGTTTTCAAAGGTATGAGGGCCAGTATTCATAGAAAGAATGTTCATGCACATCCCCACCACAATAGCACATAATTTAATGACCATTTGGCTCGGCTCGACATCGGGCTAAGTCGAGTTCATGACGCACTATTCAAGACCAAAAACTACGCCCGAAGACACCTCTCATTTTCTCCACATTACTTTGCTCAAGTCATCCCCAAAAGCCCGTCTTATCCTTCCACTACCAGCCGCACCGCGTCCTTTGTCCTCGATATGACTCCGAATACTAGGACTACAGTACCACCATTTGCATGCGCCTTACAAATCTTGTCCCCGCTATGCTGTGGCTGGCTCTTGCAAGTCTCAACTCGGCCATTTCTCGCTTCGCGATCGTCCTGCGGGACGATGCAAAATCAGACCTCATCAATGTCAATGACGCTCTACTGGACCTTGCATTTCAACGTCTCATGCAAAGGGTTCTCGATGTCTCGGTTATTCTGGCCCTAATGTCAGCGTCGCTCTCCATCTTCGGTATTGTCCTTGCGATCCACCCGAGGTGGCTGCATCGGGACTGCAAATTTCGGCTTTATTTCGAATGCCTTCAAGTCACGCTGGGCCTGAGAGTACTCTCCGTGGGTGGATATGTCGCCAGCTGCGTCCACGGCTATCAATCCTCGTTTGAGCTGTTTAACAGCCACGGCCACTTTCCATACTACTAGATCATATATTACGGGGCCGTAGGGCAGGTTGCTTTCGGTTCTCTAGTGATCATTATGTTCTTTGTCCGGTTCATCATACACGACTTGCGCGGTCATTAAGAGCAAGTGCAGGCAACGAAGATCATGAATGCTGCTGTTCGAAGTGCTTCTGAAGCCGGGCGATGTGAGGGAATGGAGTTTGAATGTGCCGGTTAATTCTGATTGAAATTGAATCAAGATGGCAAATCATTTGGATGAATTTGGAAGAAACTTGGCAGAAAGCTTATGTTGAATTAGAAAGGTGTGCCAGATTACTTTTTGATCGAAGATTCAGTCAGCAAGTTGACAAGACGGAGGTGCCACTTGTTTCGCACATGTCGCCTTTTTCAATCCACCGCCTGTTCACTGGTTCTGTTATCCAAGCTTGATGATAGGCGACTAGTGCTAATGGCAATACAAAAGGCATGAAGCTGGTCAAATTGATTTGATAGAAGTCTAAGATTGAATACCTACCATAAACTAAATCAACTTCTGTTCACGGTGGTACGTGCAATTCACCCGAGTCGAAAGTAGAGCCGCTCTTGCAAGTAACACGAGATCAGCAGCAGGACGGCGTCGGGCTGTGATCAACGGATGCTGATAAGAATTAGCAAGTTCCGAGCCTGCGCAAAATGACATACCATTTTCAAAACATCCATCGATGCTGTCGCTCCAGAAGCGGACAAGAAGTCTACGGCGGCGGACTCAATTGGCCAGCGTTCTAGGTCGTCGACACCAATAGCGCCATCCCCTTTGTCACACTTTTGCATGAGCAGCATCATGATTGGCGGTATGGCGGCGATACATGCGGCTTCGGACTGACTTGTTACGCAGTCCACGCAATGTTCCGGGCCAGCTGCAGCTCGTTAGCCAGATCCCCCACGGAAGGGCCTTGACTGACCAATTTTGATGACCCCATCAAGCCCGAGTAGTATGTTGGAACAGACCAAAGACTGATGAACAAGGCGAAAAGCAGCTAGATAGCACATGCCATCGAGAATCTGACAAAGTTAGCATAGCTTATCGAAACGATTACGATGGACAGATTTGACACATGATCGATCCCAGTTCCGCCTCACTAGGATACAAGTCCGAGCAATCAACGACATGCGCGAGAGTCAGCGGTAGGTCGGCAACTAAGAAGAACGCGGAATCCCCATCGATGTAACATTCATAGAACGAAAGGATATTGGCGTGTTCCAGTCGCCCGAATCTATCAAGCAAGCTGCGAGCATCTTGCCTTTGGTATTTCCTGATAGCCACCACACGAGATGGGCGGGTGCGACGACAGACAATAATCACCTCGCCTGCGATGTCGTATGAGATGGCTTGCTGATAGGTGTCCCACGGGGACTCGTGTCGAACAATCAGGACCGATGTAATATCGTCAAGTCTATGCAAGCGTGGTAGACAAAGGCTCTTTATGGGGCCTGTGACGGTTTTCGGGCTGAAATGGTGATTCACAGGCCTTTTTCGCTCAGCGCTGGGGGACTTAGAATTTTTGCAAGCGAGGGATTCAGGGTCTGTGAGTGGTGGTTGGGATTGAGCTTTGATAGTGTCGAAGTCAAATATCATGTGCTCTTCTAATTGTCTGACTGACATGATCAGAGCAGGCGTGGTATGTGTGAGATTGCGGTATTTTGCGGAAGACAAAGAAGCAAGCTTTTAAAAGAGGAATTGGGCATTTCATTTTATACATCAATGACACGCCAAACGGTCTTTGTTCGCCCAATCGCTACAAGATGAGGTTGCCAACATTTAATGCTTCTCCAAATCAGATCGGAAAACCCACCAGAAGGCACGAACTGGCCACGAAATTCTTCTTCGACTGCGAGTCAGTCTTTCAAAGGCAAGCCGTCGGAAATTGAACGCGTCAAATTTGCCGAGAGCCTGTGCCTTGACAATGAATACTATTTATCGGCCACTTGAGCAGCAATGCATACGGGACCATACATAAAACTGCTGCGCACATCATAGGTGTGCTTATTCCTCAAAATCAGAGAGCAACCCGAAATGTCAGACACTTCAACGTATCTGCTTGAAAATGAAGCCGATAAATTGACTACTTGCTTTCTGGACCAAAATTCACAAGACTATGTCTTGTTTTGGGACACTCTACGTATAACAAGCGTTGCCCCAATCCGGTAATGCAATTTACTTTCCAATAAAATTGGTTTGTCTCTTCTCAAGCATAACTGGTGATACTCTGACAGGTGGGCTCAATGTAGGACATTCTCTTCCGAGGACTATTGAAGGTCAGTAGGGATATACTGGCAGACACTCTAAACGAACTGTATATATTTATTTTTTTACACCGAGTTTAACACTCACCGCATCATTTCCTGGCACAATGTCTTGAATTTATGTTGATTTCTGGAAACAGGCGAGAAACAAATACGCCGACGTCTTCTTTTCTCTTGTGCATGTCCGTACTCACATGAAAGAACTCCCCAAGCACATTCGTTCTCATCTTGCACAAATAGCCTCTACCCGCATATTTCGAGGATCAAAGTCCGACATGCATCAAGGCCCTCGAGTAACTGACTAGGCTGTAAACAAGGAACAGGTGCATCATACAAAGGCTGGGCTGCAAGCTAGGCATAATATTGAGTCGCTCCAAAGGGCCGATCAGATAAATTGCAGCCCCAAGACAGTTCCTCATGACCATGTAGATAAACTCGGTAGCTAGTGTTGGAAATGCAGGTCGAATCTCGGCCAAAGCCTGAACCGCAGGAGCCAAACAGAGTAAACCGAGAGAGACGCAGTGGTAGGGGAATCGGAATCGAGCTCCCGATATATCCGAGTCGAACGTGAGAAGGTCCAAGACACTCCCAAGAAATGCAATGGTGGTGATGACTGCATATCCTAGTTGAATTGAGGGCTGGGACTCAAAGAGAAGAATGACTGTTGGCAGAGTGCTCGTCCAAATAAGGAGTAGTACAGTTCCAAGCTCAAATTCCGATATCCGACACGCCGTTCCATGACTTCTGCGAAAGGTGGACGAAACTTGAACGAGTAAGGTCAACAAGCACCAAATCATGACGCCGGCGCAGAAGACGATCATAGAGAGGGTTTTGAGGATCTCATTTCCGAACGAAGAACAATGAAATAGGAAAATCTGTGCAAGAAGAACAGAGAAGTAAGACAATCCAAAAAGACTGATAAGAGACAAGATTGCACAATGCCAGACACTGGAGGGGTGATACTTTTCCATATTGGGCCCGTCTCTTGCTGGTGTAACTTACTGCAAGAAGAATCCCACTTTCCATGTAGAGCTGCATCATTTATACTTGACAAAAAAATGGCAAGCCGACGTTTGGTGGTTTCTTGCATCACAATAATCAACAGTGGCGAAAGTGCTACTGTACGTCTATTCACTTATTCTCAAGTTCAAAGACTGTTGAAGTATTTGACACATCTAAACAGTTGAGTGAGGAGCCGGCTTTTAGTGAGGGCATCAGTGAGACAACTACAGACCTTGGCAGCTCAATACCGAAACGAAGCAAATGGATTGATCGACGAAAGCCAACCGACTACATTCTATGCAGTCTCAACTGGCGATCAAAGAAGCCATCTCAGTGCCGTAGTGAGGCCTGGTGAGACTTGTCGCGTTGCGCAGACGCTCAGCTGGTTTGAATGGATGCTACTGGCTGTAGCATCGCATAAATTGGTGGCAAATATATGAATACTTTGATCAGAGCCCACAAGAGACAAGAAGTGCCTCATCAATAACGAAGATAATACCAATTGGCGTACACTCAATGGGCGGAATAATAAGTTATATCTGAACATTCTTTGTTGTCATTCCTGGCCTTTCATGGTCATATTGTATCGAAATGTCATAAATCCTCCACTTAATCTAGCTGTTAAATCACTATTTTCGCCAATACTCATAATTGATGCACCAATCCTATCATCTAAAAGACAAATAACGAAGTCCTCTCTGGAATGGAGCTCTCGCCGGCTTCCTCAGCCATACTTGAATCATTTTCGTCTTTTATGGACCACCCACCCGCTTCTCCCAGGTAGCGAGCTCAAACAGAACAAGCATTCATTCCTTGGTGAGGTATTCAAACGTCCAATCTGGGTAATAATCGAGATAGACTCAATTCTAGCGTGGGCAGACTGTCTGATGAGCCCGTGTGAGGAGTGATAGAGGGATTCTGAGAGAGCCATATGGACGAGGTGCTTCCAGGGCATACGCTACCCTCAGTCAAATCTGTACACGCGCCTCGTGACGCTTCTCTCTGACCAGCCTCAGATCTCACACTTCTATCCGGGGTGACAGATACCCATGGAAATATTTTGTCGAGCAGACTTGTCTTGCTTGGTCTGCGCCAGTCTTCGGGCTCATTCTGAGATAGAATGGGTTGCGTGCTTGTCAACGACCGGAGACGATTAAACACGGAGAACTCCAACTTCAGCTTGATGCTGTACACCACGGTCTTGAAGCTCACTTGAATGTAATGCAGCTTGAACTCGGTAAGAAGAAGCAGCATATTCAACAGGACGACAATGATGTTGATCCAGAGCAGATGGATGATGGCATTCCGCCCATTGCGACCTCGGGTCTGAATCATAGGCTTGAGAATTCGGATTGCTTCGTAGATGTAAATGCCGCAGATGATGAATTCCTGCACGCAGAAGCCGGTGACCTGGATGCGATCGTATATCGCGGCGGGACGAGCGAAGCGTGCGTCGCCTTGGTTCAGGCCAAAGAACAGGACGGTCATGGGGATGTGAAGAATGAAAAAGTTCCCGACGATCATCCACAGCACCCACCGCACTTTTTCCATGTGGCGGACAACGAGATCCAGACGGGAATAGAGCACGACCGCCTGACCAGTGACCATGGCGTACCACCCGATGATGAAAGGGATAGACGTAGAAAGGTTAGATGCTTGAGAGACAAACCGAGCCATAGCAGGCAGTGCATGAACAAGAATGCCCCAAGGCGCGACTTGCATGCTCCAGAAATAGAGACCGCTGTAGCGCTTGAATGTATCGAAGGTGACAATTGCCGTTTCGAAGGCATTGTATGCGCCGATCGCAAACATGGACACGACCTGGATGATTGAGACATTTTTCATCAGGATAGCCCCAACGTCTGGTGGCAGGCTGCTAATGATCGTGTCCATGATGACTAAAGACTTGTTCCGAACGTAAAAAATTCGAGAGCTCTGAGGTGGACACGGTGGGTAGACAATTTTTAAAGACTACTGCGTAAACATGTGATCGTGATCCTCTGGCAATGCGATCATGACGTGGTAGTCGGGGGCTCCTTGGAATGACTCAAGGAGCTGTTCAGATCTTATTGGGTCAAGGCATGGCTCGATGGGTCGCAGACTCATTGATAACGTAGAAGCTTTGACGAACACTAGGCGAGATTAGCCTCGATCCGTTTTCTCGGTCAACCAGACAATGGAATTCTGTCATGAACCTGGAAGTTTGGATGCTGATCAAAAAGTTAGAAAGAACAAGTAAGATTCTCAGCTTCCATAGTTTTCGAGTGGGGCTGTGAGCGACTCTCTTGTCAACCCATGGAAACGACCGGTCGGAGAGAACAGCTTAAGGCGAGGAGAACGCGATCGTCCCTGTGTCGGTGATCTGGAAATTGATTTTGAGGAAAACTTCTTTGTAATTGAGAATGTTCGGGTTATATATACCTTCTTGATAGAAACAGGTATTCCTGATGAGCTGTCCCGTAATGTATTCGCACCTTTTCGATCGACTATCCTAAGGCAATTTACCGGTGCAGGAAAGGTCACAATCACAGGCAGAAGCATATCCCACAATAGAGACACCAGCGGCATTTCAAATAAAGTTTGGATACACCAGAGTTGTCTGGCCTACAACGCCGACCCTGACGGGTTTAGAAGCCAATCGGGGTCTGATTTGTTTCCAACTTATTCATGTAAGCCTATTTTGTCCTGCCAAGCATGCATGACCCTGAGTGAGATATGGTTCTAGACCATGATACACTCGGACCTAAAGGATGAACCATCGAGTGGACAAGTAAGGTATTGGAAGAAGATTCGATGCAGGGAAGATAGCTTCTAGATCTTTCCCTCGACTGGATCGACAGAACGGCCACCCGGGTAATAGAGAAGTGGAGAAGTTCTCCCCTATGTGGGATCCGTTAAGAAGTGGATCACGAATCACCTTCAAGGCATTTGGGAGCAACACTGGTAGTCTTGTGCTTTGCGCTCTCAAAGTGTGTGCTTAGTGGCCTTGAGTCACAGAGAAATTAGGATTTGAGCCATGCACTGTACCAAGGCAAGTGGCTATGGCAAGAACGTGGAATTCAATCTTACCCACGTGCATTTTGATCTGGTATGAGCTATGCTTGAAGCAAAAACATTACAGTATGCAGTCTCTTTTTGACGGTCGATGGTCTGACTTTACAATGCAGCAAGTTTCATATTCTGTGTATAGACAATCTCTTTCTGGGGATCCTTTGGAGACCTTTACATTCATGTACGCAGCATTGATTTTCGTGCGAGTCTCTCTTAGTACATCAACAAATGCATCATGTCCAGTTGCATGTGATAAGTGGATGTGTTGCAATAGATTCTCTCACGCTTACGCATTTTGGAGTGCCGGTGTAGACGCATATTTGGAACTCTGGACTCGGAAAACTGAAACCGAGCTTTCCTGGCAGGGACACATATTATTGTGCTTCGTTGCAGATCATCTCCCAATGGACTCTTCTCGTATTATAAGGTACTATTTCCCAATCTTTGGTGCAGAAAAACATTCTTCTTTCACTCTTCTACCAAAACACGCCTGTCAAAAGATAGCATGGCAAAACAATCAAGCTCCACCCCAAAGAAGTTAGATATCAGAAGCAGGTCAAGAGTGACGCGTGCGAGGTCCCGCATCAATTCTCCCAGCCCTGCTTCGTCGGGGGTCTCTGAGTCTCATGCAGACTGCTCTTCTCTGCGTTCAGTCACGAAGCCATCCAAAGTCCTAGTAAGTTGATTGTGGTCGTTTTCGATTTCTCGATTCTAGAATCACCCTTCACGATGCTCAATACTGCTGATACCATGCGCTTTCGGCTGATCATGTTATTTAGGGACATCTTGTGTCAAAGAGTGACCGGAAGAAGGAGTCTAAGGCTATCCATGCGAAGTGCTTTGATGAGATGGACAAAATTGGTCGGGAGCTCCAATTGGCCCTTGCGGAGAAAAATGACCAAAAGGCCTACGAGTCTCAGTTGTTGCAGAAAATACAAGCCACCGAAGCTGAAGGGAGTTCGAAATTGCAGCAAGCTATTGCGCTCAAAGAAGCCGCTCTGGCTGAGAACAAAAGACTTCAGAACGAAACTCGTCAACTCCAGCAGCAGGTGGAATTGTTGAATTCTTCGACACAGGATAACGTCCCGTGGAATGACGTTCAACCGATATTGCATCAAACACATGGCGAGCTAGTGTCCGCGACCACGCGATACTGGAACGCGATCGACGCTCTTCAGAACCGCAGACTAGCATCCTATCTACCCGGCTCTGGAGTGATCCACGGTAATTGGGCGGAGCAGTACGGCCCGCTGGGATCTTTGGGACACGATTCACTTCCCGGATTCACCGAATCGGGCAATCCCTCTTCGAGCAATCAGCAAGAGCCTGGGGCAAACAATGTGTTTGATTCCCTTATGTGATGCGTCATGATCCTTAAGTAGCTGTGGGTCCAATCCAGAATAGTGGAGCCGTGTTTTGATGTCAGATATTATGACGCAGACAAGTACCAGTACCCTATGGTCGCATCATCGTCGTCGGCCTACAGCTTAAATACGATCAATTTTATCTTGCTGACGAATTCATACCTTGTTTTGAATGGAGAACTTTCCGAAAAGTAAATATGTAGATGAGTTTTTAAAGCATTACTGTTCACCGCCAAGCGGGGCCCGTCACGTCCGCCCGGTGGTTCGTGATCGCCGTCCTTTCCTAACTTTATGCGCAACTTTATGCGCTGCAGATGATCTTCCGCTGCTCGGATATTTTATCCAATCACGGTAAGCCTTGGCAACTGGCACGCTAGATGGTCTACCACTCAGCCAATTTTAGTAAAGTCAAGTCAAAGAATTGCAACGGGTCAAATGATTTGGAATTATCTACCCAAAGCACTGAATGTAACATCAAAGATTTTTTTTCTCAATGATCTCGACGATTATTTGCCAGGGCGGCCGCGCAGGGTTCCAGATCTTGCTTTCGAGTGGGCAATTTTATCAAGTGGGTCGAATTGCACTGAAACACCGGCACGATAAAGCTTAATTGGCACGTGGCAAATAGTCCGTGCGCGTATCAGCCCAAACCAGATATGATTTAGACCGGTGGCAGTTTTTTAATTTGAACATTCCAGGCCACTAATACTTAGGAATCTTATTTTGAACTCTAATCGGCTTGGCGAAGCAGCTGGATTCCGTGGAACAAGGGGAGATGAGTGGTCACATTCAGAATGTAGCAATACTTTGGTTACAAAAAGTCAATCACATCATAGTCCGAAACCTCATTGGTGACAACGCATTTACCCAGTCAATCATTCTCCTCGGTAGTGCTCTGGTTTTCCGAAGCTATCGTCTCTATGGCTGCCTCCACGGCTACCAATCGTTGAACAATATCATCTAGATCACTGCGAATGGTTCCAGTCTTATCTGCAAGAGTGCTCAGCGAGCTCTGGATCGACCTAGAATGGTATCAGCGGTGTCGCCTCTTAGAAGTACTTCCGACTTACTTCACTCGGGGGTCTAGTCTGATAGATGTAAGGTTAGCAGCGAGGTTGGAATTGATTTCACAGCAGAGTCAGACACTTACTCGGAGATACACTGGAAGGCAATCATGACACGATTGTCCGCGGTTGGAGATTCTCCTCCAATGTTCTGCCTTTCTCCAATATTCTCTCTCTGTATCCAGTCTTCGGTGGCATCATGCGGGATGCTACCCACCAGGGCCGTCTCACGTTGGAGACTGGGGAAGTTGTTCTCCTCAAGAGATTCGATCTCGGTAGTGTCACAATCTGCCGATGAAGAGGAACCTTGTGCACTGTCCGAATCGGAAGGCGACAGTGATAAAGCGCGCTCTAATCGACGTCGAAAGTCTTCGTGTTTGGCGGATCGGGAAACCTTTCTAATTCCGACCATGCTTGTGGTAGAGAAATTTTAGAACGGCGAATATACCCAAAGCAAAAGTCGAGCGGCTTTTATAAGGTTTGTCCGGAAGGTCTGAGTAGGCGATTGATGTCTGCTGCAACAATAAAATTTCTCTCGGAATTTTGAGCTCCGTCAAAATATGTAAAGCCACATGGTTCAGGGAATTTGCGAGTATGAGCTTTCCACGGTTCTAGATGAGGTCAAAGCTGAACGAGGGACATTATCATGTAGAATTTCAATAGGCGATATCAACAGATCAAACTTCAACAGGAAAACTCGACAGGCAAGATCAACACGTAAACTTCAACAGGTAACTTCAAAAGGCAAAGCTCAACAGACAAGCTCAACAGGCAAGCTCAGCAGGCAAGCTCAACAGGCGAGATCAACAGGCAAAGCTCAACAGGTAACTTCAACAGGTAACTTCAACAGGCAAAGCTCAACAGGTAAACTTCAACGGGTCACTTCAACAGGTAAACTTCAACAGGTAACTTCAATAGGTAAACTTCAACAGGTAACTTCAACAAGCAACCTCATCAGGCAAGCTCAACAGGCAAGATCAACAGGCAAAGCTCAACAGGTAAACTTCAACAGGTAACTTCAACAGCCAACTTCAACAGCCAACTTCAACAGACAAGCTCAACAATTCAAAGTACAACAAGGAATTTCAACATGCAAAAACATGCAAGGTGAACATGCAAGCATTGCTTGAAACACATTCATTTCCATTAAATTGTGCAACATGAGCAATGCTCAACAATGATGGTAACTATCGCTCAGGAGCGACGCCAATTCTTTTTTTTTTATAAAAAAAAAACCGGATTTCTGAGGATCAGAAACTGGTGAAATTCCGTGATATCAAGCGCTCCTCAGGTGCAGAATCCTCGAAATGGCTCATCAGACTAATCCATGGAACAGATTCTGACTCGAAAAAGTTTGATCGACTTCCCCAGTGAATGATTCTTTTGACTGACTCTAGCGAGTATTTCAAAACTCAGCCTACTCTCTTCAACAAACAGTCAGAAGCGTCCTGTTGGCATCAATTTAAAAATCACAATGTCTCCACGTGGCATTTTGAGCTGGTCGGAGCAAGAAGAAGAGAACCTTTTGCAATGGTTAGATGAAACCCGTGCATTGCCATGGAAAGATCTTCCGGGCGCATACAGAGAAAAGTTCGGCGTGGACCGAAGCGTTGAATCCTTACGAGGCAAAAAGTACCATATTTTGCGGAAGAATGGTCGCACGACCGCGCGATCTCGGAAACGTCAAGATCACCGTAAACGACGAGAGCCTCGCCGCCGCTCGATTGAACAGACGGTCATACACTCAGACGCTTCAGCCGACGCGGCAACCCACAGCAACATCGATCTATGGTTCCAGACAGTTCTTGCGTCTGAATCTGGTTCTGCCGAAAGTAGCGAGTCAGCGGTGACAAGAGGCTGGATTTCAGGTATGGGCCCTTTCAAGCTACCTTGACGTGCATGCTAAAATTCCTCTCAGATCGCCTGACGCCAGCGCTTAGAAATTACCGACCCAAGAAATTACGATCGTCGTCATGGATCTGGGAGTATGTACATCGGATGTGTGCCACTGGGAGAATGGACCTCTAAGGCGTGGTATATGAACATATTGTGAGATCCCGCAGACATACAAAGGTCACTAACCATCCCAGTCAAGAGCTCCACTCTTACCAAGTTCCGATATTCCATTGGCCTCTTCGTAAATATGTCCTGAAGCTCCTGGATTTGAGGTACTTTGCGATGATTTTGGATGGTGCCTACCTTTTTCATTGGGTGCAGAAAGGTAGACAGGGCCGTAAATTCTATTGCCATTAAGTTGGTGAGCCTTACTTCTAAAGTTACCACCGAAACGCTGCGACTTTGCCATTCTTAAACGGTCGATGGAAATGTGAATAATAAAAAATTTGCAGCTTGCGCAAAAGGCTCGTAATTGGCTACGAATACCGACTTGATCTTTAATATCAGCGCAGCCGTGGTGAAATCAAAACCTGTGCGGGGTAGTTGACGTGTCCAATAGGTGATGTGTCTTAGAGCATGATGAGAGTAATAACGCGAGCAACTACGTCACGTGCTTTTCATCAGTTAGTTCATTGTAGACCTCGCCAAATGGGCGGGTTGGGTTTCGACCCTTGACCCAAAACCCGCCAAGAGATTAAAATACACGTAACATATACCTGATTACATCACTCTATATCTGGTATTGGTTGTATTTCAACAGTAATACTGTAATATACAGGTAAATGGGTTCTTGGCGGGTTCGCGGGTATTCCTTCGGGTACCCAAAAAAGCAATATGGCGAGGTCTAATCTGAACAAGCCATCATAATTCCAAGAAATCCAGCCAATTTTGGGGCGGGCGGCAGCGCTCTCTTCCAATCGGAACACGTCTTGGAAGCCGAAAGTGGGTCATCCTGCTGGTTTCTACCGCTCCGCACGAATCGAATCGAACTTTTGCCAGATTCGATTCGATTCGAATTAATATTGAAAATAACGATTCGTACGAATTCGAATTCAAGACCGATTCGAATTCGATTCGAAGTTCGCGAACATCTTGGTTCTAAACCTTATTGGGAAGGCGGTCAATCACGCCATGTCGTTCAATACGATATGTAGCCAGCAATCAACACCTCATACAGTTAGCTAATTATCAGTTAACTAGTAGTTGGATACTGAGGTAAGTAGGCTAGATTTAGTCTAATAGTAAAATTAAACGATTTGGCCTTGAGATGAATAAGCTGTAGGGCAGTATCAACAGATGCAACATTTCGACCAAAACCTCCACCCAAATAATATATATATTCTACTCCTCAGCTCATTCAAAACGCCCACAGTCTTATTCGTGATCTGGTTTGCTTCAAATTATATGAGCTGATATACTATACTAAGATACACGTAAGATATCAATATAGAGTCAAAATATCAATATTTGTATATCGTATTCGATGAACAGTAAATGGGTAGTCTAATCGGGCTAGCGGAGACTCCACAAGAAAAGTGTCTTCGCGCGTACGTGCTTTCACCAAAAACAACGTCCAAATCGGGTTCAAAAGCTACAGATAAACATCACATCTGGGTGCTCGAGGGTAAGCAATCGATCAAGACATAAGCCTGATATACTAATATAACGTTACAGATGACTTCTCCACTTGCTGCGACATTTGACTGTCCTAATACTAGGAAGAATAAACGCGATTATGCGGCGCTTAATTAGTATGGCCTTCTTGCAGAAGACATACCACTTCCGCCTCCTCGAAAGAAGACGGCGGTCCGGTCCGCCCTTAAGTCGCTGACTCCGCCGATTTCAACGCCTCCTACGGCTCCAAGCAATGTTTCTACGAGTTTATCGAACCTTGATACGGACATACGCCCTTCGCAATCAATATCTCAGGTCGAATGCTCGGTAGAGAGGGTCGAAATCAAGCAGACAGATGAGACTAGATCGAAAGAGCGGAGCTGGGTTTGGAAATACTACCTTACGACACCTGAATCTGGTACATGGAGATTAGGAAATAAGGAGCGGTCCGAGCTTAAACACCTGTGTATTGTATCGCCATCCACCTGCCGATTCTTTCGATTTGCGTCGAAACTACGATCTTCAACCACAGCGTTGAAACAACACCTGCAGCACACCCACAAGCTCTTCCAGGACGGCCATTCAGAGTGCCAAGGATCGTTAAGCTCATGGATTTCCAAGGAAAAGAAGCTCCCATTCGAAGAAGCTGTCTTAAATTGGATTGTATCAACCTGCCAACCATTTACATGCGTCGAACAGCCTTCATTCAAGGCTATGTTGAGGTCTGCCGGATTCCAGGACTCCGTACCAAGTGCGGATACTGTGTCGCGCCGATTATGTCTTCGGCTTGATGCTCTTGACAGTGAATTTCGAATCTTGATGTCTTCAGCATCCTCCATCGCGCTATCTCTAGATGGTTGGACAAGTCAGAATTCATTGCCAATGCTGGCAATTAATGCCCACTGGATGTCCTCTACTTTCCAGCAATATCGAGCTTATATTGAGTTCGTTGAAATCGAAGGCAGCCACTCTAGGGAGAACCTTACTAATATTGTTGCGACGGTTCTCAAGAGGTTTCATATATCTGATACAGTTATGACGATTACAGCTGACAACGCGTCTAATAACAATACTTTACACCGATATCTTTACCAAAAGCTGTCTCGGCGGTACGATGAGTACCTCGCCGAGACCATTATCCGAGAAGGGACGATGAAATTTACCCACAACTCCCAAATTCGCTGCTTTGCTCACATCTTGAACTTGGTTATGAAAACCATATTGAGGTCTCTACGCGCTAGTTCACATAAGGAAGCCTGCGATCTCCTTGATGATGTTGCTAAAAGGAGCTGGAAGACGGTCAACGCTCCTACTTCGCCGATCGCAAAGCTTCGACTAATTGTCCTTTGGATTATGCGATCCCCTCAGCGAATACAGAAGTGGGATAATCGACCTGGCTGTACAAAAGCTATCAACTACGATGTTGATACTCGTTGGAACTCTACCTTTGTTATGATTGTGAGAGCTGAAGAGTGTCGCCGGCAGCTCGAAGATACGATCAATGATGACCCAGATATTGAAGCCTTGCGTCTCATGACTGGAGACAGCTCTCGGATATCAAGAAAGTTCTGGCTCCCTTCAACGAATATACCGACTACGTCTCTCGAGATAGCCCATCAATCCATATGGCAGCGCGTATGTTTGCAGAGCTCCGCTCTATACTCCTCGCTATCAAAGAACGCCGAGGCGAGTGGCAGAAGGTCTCACCAGCAATGACCGTTCCTGTGTCCGATGGAATTACCCTCCTGGATAAGTATCATGACTGCGTCAAAGACAACGACATATACTATATCGCAAGTGTTCTGGATCCGCGAATTAAGACCAAGTGGCTCAAAACGTTACCAGATGGAGAGAGGATCATTGGCCGAATCCGGGCGTTTCTGGAGAAAGCGTATTCCACCCCAAAACAGCCAATATTGACTACTACAAGCACCAATTGGAAGAGCTTCGAATATCGATTTCTGGAAGCCTTTCAGCCTACACAGGCTAACACCGCTGAGTCTGATATTGATAAGTATTTCGATACTCCGACAATCAGCACTGGTTTCGATATGAGCCAGAGCCAGACCGAATTTATACGAAACTGGTGGAATGCAAACAGGCTTGAATTCAGTTGCATGGCTAAGGTAGCACAAGATCACCTTGCTATACCAGCAGCAGAGGTAGATATCGAGAGATTATTCAATGGCGGGAGAGATGTGTTGGGAATTCGATGTTTCTCCATGAAAGGCAAGACCCTTGGGACTCTATTAAGGCTGAAAGATGCCGCACGTTGGAAGTCTGAATAATTACATAGTTATGGTTTCTTCTGGCAAACATACGGTGAAATTCTATACCTGATTCAATATATTTAGAGCTCTGAATGTATATCATAAGCCGTACTAAAAACACCATTCGAATCCAATGGACACAACGGTCACAGTTGTTGAGGTTATGGCTGGCAGCACGAGCGGAGCCACTACCTCGAACACTAGACATTGGTTCGCGAACCTGTTCGAAATTCGCGAATTTTGACGAATCGAATCGCCCATAGATTCGAAGCACGAAAAGCAAAGTTCGAATCCGATTCGAATCGTCAAAATTCGCGAACTTCGAACAGTTCGAAAGTTCGTGCGGAGCGGTAATGATTAGCCAAATGGAGCGTGATGATCCCCTCAATCTTGTTGGTCTCCTTCTCTGTTCGTCGCACCACTACCATAATCTCCTCGGTGAGTACCCCTTCCAGAATAGCCAACTAGAGAGAGAAAGCTATAGCCAATGGAAAAAAAATCAGGCCAAAGCATCTCCAGCTTATCTTGATTTGGAAGCGAGCTTCAACATCTGATGCCCCGCTCTTACGGCTATTAATTGTTCCGTAACCGGAACTACTGGTTACTAATGCATCCATCCCACTTCCTTTTACCCCGCCGTTGCCGTGGGCTTTCCTTATACTCATAGATTTCATTTCGAGCAAACCATCGACTCCATGGTCCTTATTTGGTGAAAGTCCATTTGAATGTAGGTTGATCTCTCGCGATCCTCTATTAACTTCCTAAAGTGATCAAGGCTAATCTATTGCTCTGCCCCCTCTAGTTGTGCTCTCTTTTGCTCATCCGCCTCGCTCAGTCATGCCAGCCAGAATCAGCGACGATGCCTTGCCTGAACTTGAGAGCCTAGCAGCATGGGTTTCTCAGAGCGCCGAGATGAAGGAAGAGAAAGGAAGCCAAAATCTTTTGGAATGTGTGGACAAAGATCGAGAAGCGAAAGCACGGCCGTTGATGGAGAAGCTGGGATACGCTACAATACAGGTAAAAGAAGCATTTACTCTATTTCGGCAAGGCCGCTAACTGGAATAGTACCATTTGGCCTTACTGTTTCGCATATGCGGAAAGACCTCAATTGGAAAACCCCAAAACGATAAGCGAACGTTGTTATTCTTTCCTCTGTCTGGAGAAGTGGAGGTTGCCGGCGAAGTCCTTATACCAGGCATGTACATTCAGCTCACGAAGAAGTTGGATCTTGACGCACATTTAGACTGCCTGATCATCGCTCTACCATAATCCACGTCGCAGAACTATTTGGCGCTTCACCTTCATGTTCAATTTTCCGAATTTTTTTTAGCCTTTGCAACTGCATTACTTTGACTACCAGAGACGAATATAGGAGAAAGTTCATATGACACTGGTATCTTAGCAGAGTATTTTTAAACATATCCGTTCCCACTGTTAATACTTTGTCCAAAGCGACTAAAATGCCGTCTATGCTTTGTACCCCGCGTCCTGTTTGTATCACGTACAGCTTTTGTGATTATGAAGGCAAAAAAAAACTCAGCTCGTCGCACAGTCGACCTCAGTCGAATTGGGACCAATTTGTGTTGTGGTGCTGCGAAAACCGGCATTGATAAATGGACTGAACAAATCATTGCTTGCCAATGGGTTGAAAACTGCACTTTCTTGGCCGGGCTCCCCCGAGATGTTGTTCAGCTGGCTGTTGTCGAGCTGGGGGTTCGGGAAGAGGCTAAACAATGCATCGCTTGCCAATGGGTTGAAAACTGCACTTTCTTGGCCGGGCTCCCCCGAGATGTTGTTCAGCTGGCTGTTGTCGAGCTGGGGGTTCGGGAAGAGGCTAAACAATGCATCGCTTGCCAATGGGTTGAAAACTGCACGTTCTTGACCGGGTTCCTCTAAACTATGATCAGGTGTCTTCGAGCTTAGGAAAGTTGCATTCCTCATGTCCGCAATCGACTCGGGGCACGACATCAAGAACGCATCCGTTGTACCAGGAAGTTGGGCTTTGGTACCTGGGGCGGGGACCACTGCGAATGGCTGACTGGCTGTATGTTTTTGCAAAGCCGAGACATTCACTGGGCCAACAGGAGCTGATGACAGAGGAGAGCTAGTGGTCGGTGTATTTCCACATCGATAAGACCGGGACGGGGGTTGCGATTGATTCTCTAATTCGGAATCATCATCTTCTTGAGCTGAAAAAGATTAGTTGATGAAAAGTGTCAACAACACCCGGGGCAGCTGGCCGGGCATACCTTCTGGTAGAACAGAGCCTGCAGTCGTGGTATTGACCCCTCGAATAGATTCACACTGAGCCTCTTGGCCTTCGTGATCTGCACAGTCTGGGTTCCAACGATTCCGCAACCTGGATGAAGTCTCACAATATCGTGATGAAGAATGATCTGAACAGTGTCTTTTCGATGTGTGGCATGGCGCTAACGCTGACCTTTTCCTGACCTGACCATGATCCAAGGCGTTCTTAAAAAGGGGCTGATAAGACCTGACCAAGAATAATTCGTAGCCCAGACATTTGCAAATCCTCTTCAAGCTGGATACAGTCAGTCGCGTATCTTAAAAGCCGAAAGGTTTGACTCACGATTTCGTGTGATTGAAAACCCGTTCTATGATCAAAGGGATAGCAAAGGGTGCCGGCGAGTCTGTGGGTTCAGACAAAATGAAGCTCTCATCGACATGAAGTTCCAGTTTCGCCAATACTTCTTGGGGGTTTACAGAACAGTCGCTGAATCGAGCGTAGAAGCTAAGAGGATGCTGGGCTTGGCAGAATTAGCTTGACAAGATGATACAGTTATGGTTTCCATACCGACACAAAGAATGTCCCAGCTTCTAGATGCCCACTTTGTTTTTGACAAGAGCGATACGAGACTGTTCGCCCATTTTGCGCCACGAACAAATTTGGCAAGCTGTATTGAAGAATTGGATCCGAGGACTTTCCGCATAATTGCGTAAATGCCGTCTTTTTCCTCCGTCCTGTCCAATAAAACTGTACAAAGAGAGACAAACAAGATATCTAGAAAGCACGCAAGCTGTCGATTCAACAATCCGAAAGAGACCATGAAGTTAGCGAATTCGGATAAGATTGAAATGTCTGTCGACTTGGGTGACATGATTGCCGACTCTTTCGCTGTTCCCGGTGAAGCAAAGCTCGATGCATCTGGACCACAAATTTGTAATAGCGCCTTGAGGAAATTTCTTCGCTGAGTTTTATCAAGAGCCGACACCCAATTTTCCCAAATTTCCGATTTGGGTAGACCATTGAGGAAGCTGATGAATCTTGAAAGCGTCTTCTGTACATCTGTCTTGCTCTCACCCGGTGCGGATTTGACCTTTTTTTTGGGATCAATGGCGACTTCCGGATTGTATTCGATGATATCGAATGTTGCGATACTGCCACTATCTTTGCGTATGCTTCGCGGCTCATTAGGATGTTCTGGGGCGGATTGTGTGCTACTGTCATGGCTTGGGGTTTCCCGTGCCACTGGAACTCCACGTGTCCGGCGACGAGGTCTTTCAATGACCTCGTGCTGATCAGAAGCTACGTTGTAGTCTGCTGGGGTCGATGATGTTCCAATGGGGGCAGACTGTTGAGGTGACGGGCGAAGAGACTCTTCAAGCTGAAGAACCAGTGTTTCAAGAAACAGAATATAAGCAGCGTCGTCGCCCTCAAATGGAATTCGACGAGCCATAATTTGTATGAACAGACAAGAGGAAAGAGATCCTGTAGCAAGTGAAACTACGTTGTCAACCTGGCCCCCTTTCTCTCTGCAGGGTGATCCTACACTACACGAGACGAGCCAAGCGAATCAAGTGGCTTGTCCAGACTATGGGTCCGTGCTGGGCGCTTCTGTAAGTCTCATCACAGCGGTGTAAGACTTATCACACGGCTATCCAATTGGCTTCCGAACTTACACTTTACCTCCCTATACCCCTTGAAAAAGACAACTTATTTCCACCGGTTTTTGACCTTAAAAGTCATGCGCCCCCTGCTGATTTGACAATCGTTCCGGTTCTACATCGCAAACGAAGGTATTTGGTTCTGCATTTTTCATGGCTTACGCTCGACATTCAAAGATAAACCTAGGGAGCCCAATTTTCAAAGGATGGCAGCGGTGTGCGACCACTTCCAGGGATGGACTTGCTTGCTCTGGTAGGATGGCTTGTTTCATCCTCCATTTACACGTGCCAACGACACTAACCAGATCAAGGAACCCCAGCTGAATGCTCCTAATTAGGTTAACCTCCAGAGCATAACGGTAGTAACCGAACCCCCGTCGCTGAGTGGTCCTAATCTGGTGAATGTTGGTCGTCATCGTCAGGGTACGCCGTCTGAAATGTCTCCCGTCCGTTGACGCTGCGGCATTTTATGGCGATTACTGATAAACTTAGATGCCTGGAATTAGAAACAAAATATCTATTGGTTGGGCTTCTTGACTAGCAGGCTGAATTCAAAAACGCCCGATTATGTTTGTCTTCAGCGCAATTTAATTTAGAATACTTGATATCATAATTGGGCCATAAAGCCACTGCACCGAGGATTACCATCGCTTCAATCAAAGACTGCGTTTCTCATAAAAGTTGGATAAGCTATGTCCATGAATACGTCACAACCGCGCTTTTAAATTGCTTGCTAATTTCATTTCGCCATATCCTCGAGTGGTCTGGACCTTTCATTGTAAGCCCGACAGATGGTCGTTTGAATAGCCGGTGTGCGACCATCTTGAGACTGTACCAACTACGAAATAGCGTATATTGTTATGGAATCATGTTGATAGACAGAAATATATATCATAGACCTGCCTTTTCTAATGACTGTGAAGCTCCTTCACAAAGACGATTGGGATTCTCATGATTTTATTGCTCCAAGAACTCTTCAGGGTGAGTTATTTGCTATTGGTCTGCAAACTTCATCAACTAATACTTCATACAAGACATGAGCCGCCAGCTGAATAGTCTCTAGGGTCACTATACCACCGAAACTCCTAGAAGCTTGGCGACTTTCTCACGGGGATTCCGATCTCCAAATCACACTTGCTCAAGTCCAAAATGCCACAAAAGCTATCGAAATTCTACGGAAAATACGACCCATCGACTTGTTGCCGGAAGAACTCCGTTGTCGGATTAGCAACCCCAAACTTCCTGAGCAGCGACCTGGGAAAATTTGTTCAGATTGCCGTTTTGGTCGGCCACAAAGTGGAGCCAGCCCGGGGTTTTGCCGGAATGAATGTTAGATGGAATGAAAAACCGCCTTTACAAGTGATACCTATCTACGAAGCCGAATACGATATGGGGAAAGAGTTCTTCACACTGGAGGTTGTTTATCACAACAAAAAAGACCTGATCACGGTTACGAACACCATTCCAAAGCTATTGGAATTGTTCTATTGTATGTAGACTTTACACTCAGAATAAAGGGAGTGGTTTTATTGGGGTTGCCTCACAATGCCTATAGCCTCAACATGTCTGTAGCCTCACCGACATTTCCGAGGGCCTCTTCCTCCTACAACTGCCTCACGAGAGTCAGTTGATGGCCTCTGCGGGTAGCTCGTCATCTCTCAGGCAGTCAAGTGTCAATTTTGTCCCTCCCACCTTCCCTGTGTATTTAGAATCCACTACAATACAGACACATTGCCTCCCTTCAAGGGAGCGCGGACGGGGCCTATCTGACGCCACGGTCTACGACCGCAGCGACAGGTGGCCCGTTGCGGCCAAACTAAACTCTTCTTGCTCCTCTTGACTGCGTGAGGTCACCAATAAATATAGCATTAGAATATCAGATAAGAAGGGCAATATTCAAGGATAATGAGAATATCATTTTGCCATTGACGATAGTTGAAGTGACCCAATGGACTCAATTTTCACACGCTTCGCTTATATCGTACTCAGTTGTGAAAATCGACTATATATTGTATACCAGGAACCTACTTGCATATGAATTCCACAGCTAGCCGTTCAAGAATCCTCCAACTGGGTGCTGTCTCCCAGCCCTTTTGAGAAAGTGTGCCTGCTAAATTGGCAGCGAGAACCAAATGAATGGCATTACCAGTCACAGGTTATGAGTTTCATCGCGCTAGCCGGGAAGTTTGCGAATGGTTCGAAAAGCGATTTTGATTGACGCTGTATATATACCACTCTCTGCCACTTACTACCTCAAAATGTTACCTACTACAGTCGCTGGACTCGAGTGAAACCAGCATATCTAAAAAAAAGCTTCTGGGTATCCTTTCAATCAACAGTCTGTCAGCCTGTTCTTTCCTTGTTCTTCGAATTCCTCATCTCAAAATTTAAACTCAAGATGCCTCCTCACCCTCCAAACACAGACCGCCACGTCCAAAGAGAAGTTGACAAAAATGTATTGGACTCTAGACAAGTAAGGAAATTCCGCTTGTCTTTAACTCTATATGCTAATATTTCAGAAATGCGAAACTACCAAGCGTCTGACTACGGAACTTCTACGCAATATATCGGGGTTTACCCGCAATCTAGGATTATTTTCATCTGTCGAAACTTGGCCTGGGGCGAAAAAAACCCCATTCTTATTGTTGCGTGCCACTTTGAAGAATAAGACCGAGATCGATGTGAAATATGAACATTCGATCCATGGGGAGAATTTATCGCAGAAGGATGTGGAGAAGATACTAAGCTGTCAAAAGTTGTTGGATCGAGAAGACTGGCTTAAGTGCATATCGAAAGGATTCCTGTTTCAATTTGATTCCGCATCTAGCGCTTTAGAGCATGCTCCTGAATGAATCACCTTTGCCCTTGTTCAATCTATGTGGCTAGTAGATATTGCCCCACTTTCTAGGCCTCATCAAACATGCTCAGTTCCTCATTGTTCTAGGGGACTCAACATAGACATTAACAATAGAAAAATAAGAGGATGCTTAGAATATCAAATTATAACGGGTGTTTTATCTTTGAATGTCTTCTGCTCAGCTCCAGCCGTATTCGCGTTAGTGCTGGAACTTCCCGGCCTCAGGCTCTCGTACTCAGGTATATAATCGGCTTGAGCCTTGCAACAATTTCACGTTCTAAATGCAATGATAATGAATCAATATTTCGACAAATTGGTCTATGTCTTAGTCTTCCTTTTCATTTACTACGCCGTAATTTTGATTGCCTTTATCTGTTACAGGATCCAGCGACTTTGCTTTTGAATTAGGAATCCTTTCACTACATAAATCATCCATCAGCCCATTGGTAGCCCTCGTTCCATGAATGATCGATCTCCAGCTCATACCCTCATACTGCATATGTGAGTTCGACGCAATGTCAAATGTAAGGCCCATCAAGAAAGTGAAGATAGCTAGGTATGACATCTGACTTCATAAAAAGATCAAAGACGCAGGCTCAGAACAAGGAGGGTCAATGAACGATCTTGAAAAGGATACGATGACTTGGCTTTCGCCAGCAAGTCACGAGGAATATGATGTGCTCAGCGCGGGATGTGCCTGGGATCTTTCGACGGCAGATAACCCCCACATACCAAGCTTCGGGCCCATTGATCGCCCTTTTGCAGCATCTTTGCAGTCCATTTTGAACCGCTCTTTTATGTCTCCAAAGACCCCAGATGACCTTGATTATGAATTCATGGCTCACCTATACGAGCAGCTGCTCAACGCGGAACCGTATGAGTCGCACATGGCCCTTCATGCCCTAAACATTCTACAACAAGATGGACGGATGCCCGAGAGTTCCCGGGATGAAATTCGCATGTTCTTTCAGCACTCATCCGAAATCATGGCAATCTCTTGGGGAATCTACAAAGACTTCAAACAAGCTTCAGCGAGCCTGGAATTCATACAGGACAAGCAGTTTCTCCTAGATACGGCTTCTTTTGCTGTTTGTGGTTGCCCAAGTGATTGCTTTGTACAGCTTGTCCGAAGCAAAGCCATATCTGCAAGTGGCTTCAACAGCGCAGGCCAGAGTTATTTTCGCCTCGCACTTTGTGAAAACAGAGTGGATATTGCCTGTGAACTATTATCGGAAATGAGCGTTGAGCATATATTTGAACCTACCTCCATCATGGCCGATGACTGGCAGCAGTCTATCTTTGAGATGTCTGTGATTAATTCTGAGTTGTTCAAAGCCTGCTGGACGAAGATTGAATCCAAACCGGACTTGGATCTGTCAAACGTGCTCAAACATGAACATTACGCTTCCGTATGTTTATTTGCTACTGAAGATCTGGCTATACGTATGCTAGCCCGTGGGATTGATATTGTATCTACTGTCCATACGCTCCCTCACATCACTTGGCCTGCGATGGCTCAATACCACCCAAGCCCAGCATCTTTTTTTGACTGGCTTACGCGGCGCGGATGCTGGCCGTATTTCACCGAAGCTGGCCATGTTGCACCCCTTCTAGTCGTAGCCCAGCATGACCGATTCGAGACGACTAGCTGGCTTCTGTGGAACAATGATAACGTCTGCGAGCAAAGGAGTTGTGCGGTCGCTGCCGCTGTCCGCCAAACCAAGGACAGTGCTCGCATCCTTCACCTGGTCATGATGCGCATGTCTCTAGCAGGTCCACTTCGTCCACCTAGCTGGCCCCAGGATATTGCTGTTGAAGTCATCTGGGCTGCTTGTAATCAAAACCAAATGGGCCGACCTGAGATTCTGGAATACATTCAGGATCTTGCTATCCGAAAGATTGGATCTGTGAAGGCGTCTGCCCCGGACCTTCTTTCATACTCGAAAGAGAGTCTATCAAGTGCGAAAGAAGCCGGTCTGACTGACCTGGTTGATTTCCTACGAGCTGGGAACAAAGAGGCATGGAAAACGCTCCCCAACTACTGCTGACTTACTCGCTGGTGTCTTTTTTTTGTATCATGATACGCGCGAATTATAACTTCAGGCTGATTATTTACGCCAGTAAGGGAGGTTCTGTCAGTGTCGATGTTTAGCAGCCTTGGAATTTTAGTTGTGAGAAATGCCTGGCATCCGGAGCCAGGCCGGCCTGTTCCGTCGTTGCTCCGAGACTTAGTGGTGGGTAGACACTGAGAAGTGATTTGCACAATGAATTGATAAATGGCCATCCAAGTGGGCAGTGTAACTGCATAGAGTGTGGATGACTTGTATTTCACTTCCGTAAAAAGTCCTGGACGCCGCAATTGCTAGCTAGGCTGCAATGTGTCAATCAGAATGTCCATTGCAACTGAACTAATAGCCGAAAAATGATTTTCTCGTTAGAACTGATCCAGGCGGTTTATAGTGGAGACGATGAAAACTTTCGGGACTACCTGGATTCGCTGTTTGGGTGCTTTGATGTATCTTGACATTGATGGTGGTGATCTCTGAAAGAAATGCTTATGGGTGAGAATGACCCGGGGAGGTTCGAGCCATTGGAACGATATTATTGGAATTGATTTTTGATTTTCAATGTCGGATTGCCGCACCCAATGCCACTGGACGATGATTATAAAACCCAAAGCTGCCCGGTGAGTCTTCATGCTTTCTGTTAACCCTCAGATGGATCCACAAGCGCTATTCAAAGATTTTTCCCACAGTGAGTTTAGCACAAGATGCAGCCAAAGCAATGCTGAATTCCATTAGTTGTTACTTGGTACGATGAAAAAGGCCACTACATGGAGCCCTCGGATGAATTGAAAGAGGCATGCTTGGACAAATACGTCTTTGTTGAAACACACTTCATTCCAGCCTGCTATCTCTACGATATAATGATCACTCGGTCAGCCTATTACACAATGAACGGCAACCTGGGAAAGGCTTTCCAAGCCCTTCTATGCCAACATCTTGAGGATGAAAAGTTCAAGAGCACCCTGCTAGGCCGGTTCACTCATATTATATTGGCCGCCCAGCGGGAGGTTATGATTCAGTGCGATTTGTTCTACGACATGACGACATACAAGGGTGAGTATGATGCGATCGTGGGAGGCCGCTGGTTCAAGAAGGCAGTCTTGGAGCGATTGAATCCTGTCCGAAACCCGAACGGTGTAATTGAGCAATGGCGGGTCGAGTTTTCAACCTCTGATATTGAACTGGTAGATCGGGAAGGTGGACTTGAACAACTTTCCAAATGCTTTTGCTTTATGCGTCGTTAGTTCGGTTCTACCGAATCCAAGAATTTAGCAAAACGTCGTGAAACTCCTTTCCGATAATTGGTTCTTTCGTAAAACATTTCCTTCGCAGACAAGACCCACCTAGTAACTTCATTGCAACCTTGCTCGGAGGACTGGCCAATGAGATAGACGCAAGATGGTGCTGGACACAGAGTCAATTGAAGAAGCAGAACAAATCAGCTTTTTTTCTAATTCGTTCTCTTCTTTGTGATTTCCCACTCCAAAGTAAGACATTACCCACATCTGATTTGTCAATTTGAATTTAGAGTTGCCACTATCAGCTGTTCCTTTATTCTATAAATGCCCACATCTTGAGTGGACAGCAGGAATCTGAAAGTATTAGATTCTTTCCAATTGCGCAACGCGAACACGTCAGATCATTCTAATCTTTTCAAACATTTTTCACACGCGGAAGAATAATATGGCGTTGAAGCAAGACCCAATGTCTAATCTGGGGTAAGTTTAGCCCATGAACCGAGGACTTTGAATCAAGCTAAGACTTCCAGACGTGGCGCATACGATACAACAGGCGTCAAGAAGCCGGGCGCCCCTCCACCACCGCCGAAGTAAGACTGATGTGGGGTACTATTCTTGGCCAGGCTTGACTGTAGTTCATCCCGTGGAGCTTGGGTCTTGCTCACCCCTGTCATGGGTCACCGGCTTGTATCATAAAAATCCTGGGTCCCAGCCGGATTCAAAGAACATCACTCTTTATTAATTGCTTCAATACCGCACTACTCGGTCTTTGATACAAGACCTACCAACAAGGCCAGCGCTCTCCAAGAAAACCTACCAGAAAATGAAGATCCCGTATGACGAGAAGAAGCGCAAGATTGTCATTCAACGTAGACAAGATCCCGCTTGCCTGCCGTGCCGAAAAAGAAGAATCCGCTGTGTTGGTCAAGGTACACCATGCGAAACATGCATTGCTCGCAGCATTGAGAAAGGGTGTGAATTTACATCGAAAAAGAAACGTTGTCCTGACAAGATGGCGTCACATGAGCTTTCAAATGCTTGTGATATAAATGGACCGCTGAGAATCCGAAATGGGCCAAGTGATACTGTCGGCTCGCCTTCCACGGCCAGCACCGTGACTACCTTATCGGAGCTAAGCCACACCCCCAGTTTGGACTTCAGCGACCGCGAAGAGGATGACGCCAATCAAACGTCAGACTGTGTGACATTCAAAGAGCCGCTCAATGCCTTGCCCGGCTGGGAAATGATTGACAACCTGAAGGCACGATACTTCGCATTCGTCTTTCCGGTAATGTTTCTTGATTCTCGGGAAGTGCGATGACTGACGGCAAGACAGCTATTTTGTACCTTTTCCTTTGTCAAATTCGAGGACGAGTATAGGAGCTTCCGCCAGAATCCTGACGGAGCGCCTCTCTCGTGGCTGTCCTTGCTGTTCGCTATCTTGGCATTGGCATGCCGAGCGGAGGAAGTCCCTGAGAGGGCTTGTTTGTTTGATAGGCTGTCGATGGCGTATGAGAAGGCTGCTTGGGATTGTTTGTCTCTCAACAATCCACCTTTTGAACCATCGACGGCCGCACTGAAGGCTTTTGTACTCGTAATCTATGGCCGTGTTCACCGCGGGATAGACGTATCAAGAGATCTTCACACCGCTTACCAAATGGCAACCTCCACAAGCTATCACCGACGCCCCACTCAATCAATGGCTTGCGAGGAAAATAAAACTCTCTGGATCGCCCTGAAAATGCTTCTCTTCATGAATGGCCAGCTACACAGTGACCCCTGTGATCAAGAGGTCTCTCAAAATCTATACCTTATGGCTGGTATCGATTGGAAGGAATCTTTGGAGATGCAGCACCTGCCCATGAGCTTTGAAGACTCATCTCTGTCGGTAATGGACTTCACCGTGCTTCAGTCTCGGGTTCTCACGATATCGGACATTATCGACGCAAGCAAGAAATACGGCTTCTTATCATCATGGAGCCTACCTGGAGTTGTGAGTGAGCTGTCGCGCATCGAGAACGACTGCAACCAGTTTTATGCAGGACCTTATTCTTCCGACTCGCAAGGAGAGCTGTGTAAAGTTAAGCTGGGTATATTGCGATACTGCATTCAGTATCTGCTCCAGTCAGCTCACTTTCCGTCTTTTGAGAGTTACCTGGACGGGGATATCACATCCGACACACAATCCGCTGCAGAGAAATGCATTGATTCTGCGACATGTGCGTTGGGGATTTTCTGTTCTTTGATCGAAAACAAGCATTTCAAAGGTTACTCTTGGTATATGCGAGGCTTAGGAAAGCATTATGCTATGAATTGTATGAATACACTCAGGCAAGGACTAGAAACAATCTGTACAGGGGAAAGGGCTCGAGAGGCTAGGTACTACCTTGAAAAAGTGGCTGAGAAGTGTTCTACGTCAGAGAAATGCATGACTGTCCCTAGCAGCGGCGAATGAGATTTCTTTCATCCTGGTACGGAGCAAGAGACTTCTTTGATGAGGACTTTCGCCAATCATACATTTGCATCAGTTTCTACCGACCCAAATTGAATAGCTCGATTTTGTCAGAGAGTATTTCATCCGACACGGTTTATGCAAAGCCGTGCCTAGAAGCTGGGCTCATGTATTCCACAAACTTAGGGGATAACAAGTAGTCTAACATGTAGGTCAGATGGGACGATGTTGATTTGGAGGCTTGATCGCATAGCTAGATTGAAGTAACTTCAGGCACTTATCCCAGACCGCGAGTACAGGCACACGTAGCTCAGGATAGACAAAATGCCCATAGGATACACGCTATTATTATCTGACTGGGCTGAGCTTCCCTTGGAGAACCGAGGATTATTATAATTGCCTGCCTACGTTCACCTTGCTCAATCAATCAGAATATATAAAGCCATAGACCTCTCCCTCTATGCATGCTGCCTTTCATTACTGACAAAACTTCGTTTTCGTATTCCCAATCAAGCTAGACTGTTTTGACAAAAGAGCACCGCCAACATGACAACACCTCCGAATATATCGCCTCACCAAGGCGAACAGCTTACATCGGACATGGAGATAACAGGCTTCGTTGTATTTTCGGCTTCCTCGGAGGGTCCCGACATGAGCGCTGAAGTGAAGCGAGGTCTGCACTCGAGACCAAGAGTCGAAAGGGATCCCCTCGTCTATGGGCGAGGAGACCCAAACACATGCAAGCGCTTTATGCGACATGGGGCCGATGAAAACAACGCAGTAGGTGTGCTCGCAAGATGGATCGGGTGAGACTGACGGATTGCAGTTCGCCAATAAAATCACGGAGGCCATCGGTGACGTCGATTTTCTTCTCCGCCAGGGACCCGTGATTGTTCACTCCACCGAGGACCACTCCACGTGGGGCACTCGACTGGCGCACCCGTCGCGTGAAGCGGTATCGGCGTTTCGAGACCTTGCCCGGGGCGACGAAGCTAAGGTGGTCTTCAAACTTTATCCCCTCGATTTACCAAGAGAGGCAACCCTGGTGACGCGACCAGTTGTGCGGAAGCTGCAGCCACATGAAATCCTTTTCGTGAAAGGAACGATCAGAATGGAGATAGAAATGCCTGCCGGGGGATGTTTTGTCTGGCAAGGGAACAGTGGCGATCCAATGGGGTATGACATGCTGGGCTCAGAGGTCTTCGAGTTCATGATGGTTTAGGCGCTTCATGTCCTAGCATGACGAAAGGCTCGGGTGGGTGACCTTGATCGGGACGAAATCAGCTACTAGACACAACCAAGGCCAAATTGACTTACCAATGTTTGATACTTCATTTTTAAATTCCGAAGTCTTTGAGTCTCGCAAAGTATGCTTGGGTAGTCCGACACTAAAAGCTGAATAAATTTGGCTTCTTCCGCAAGGGACAGTCGCCGAAAGGTAGGCATCACGGGAGCTAGTACAAGCGCAATCCCAGTACCGAGTTTCACTTCCATTCGCCTCAGCTTCCTGCCCTGCTGGAGATCACTGCGGGCATTGTGATCGTTTGAGCGACCTAGATGACGAAGAAACGACGGCATCAGCCAGACGCCTTGGATGTGACTCCCTGGAGGCGCCAGTTCCATTTCATGTGCTTGAAGCCAATGCTCCTCTTCCGATGCAAGAGACGACCATTCAAGGATAGTTCGTAGCCGAAGGATCCATCTGCTGGAGCTTGCACCGGCTGAAATGAGATCGACAACACATGGACTGTCTTTGGCTATTTTCGGTCGTATAATGGCAGGCGTAAGATCCGTTTCCAGAAAATCTAGCATATGCTCCATCTGAGATGAAAGGTCTCGGAGTAGAACCTCCGCAGTGACTGGTGGGTTGCGGCGACTAGCCATGGTCGATATGTGAAGCAAGGAGTTCGACGTGCCGGGGCGACTTGGCTATCCCACGCAGCTGACTCAGAAATCCGGCATTAAACCAAAAAGGCTTAGAACGAAACAAATTCTTGGAGAGATAGGCACGGGAGTCTAGGCTAGCACAGAACGTGTGATAGCAGATGCAGGCCCCTGAGAATGGCTTGCATTCTACTGCTATTTAAATGGGGCACCCTGGCCAGGTCTGAGAAGTTGAGGCCAAATCCAATCTATCAACCATCGTGATAAATTTTCTAAGCGATCCTAGTCGAAGACCCATTATGTCCTCATTGATGAATGTATGCTTCAGGGCGCCGCAGGTATGCTCAAGCGATCGCAGACGAAAGCCGACGCAGACTGATGTTCCAGGACGAGATCGCAGACAAACCCATCGAGCGGCTAGATCCTCTTCATGGAGAGACTGCTTTCCTGGAAGTTTCCGGGTACAACAGGCCCGAAATGATGGACACATTCAGCTCTGGGTCGGACCAAAGTCTTCCCCATCACGAAGCATCATTTTGGAGCAATTTTCTGCAATATTTTACGGAGCTTTGTCATTCACCCCCCGAAGAAGTACAAAAGATGAAGGTGAAGAGGTTGGAGGCTATCTACTATCGCAGATGCACTCTAGAGACCGCCCAAGTTTTGGCCATAGTAGAAACAGCCAAAGAATTGGAAACCAGATTGTTTGATTATCAAGAATTCAAAAGGCTTCATGGGGCGCAGAAGGCTGTGGACAGATTCAAGCCAACGTGGAGATAGTGCAGAGAACTACATATGGAATGAATTGTATCATTGCCTGAATTAATCAAGACGTGGGAAAGATACAGTATGTTTCTCCCAAACGACTTTCTATATTTGCTGAAAAGGGAAATTCCGTGTGTCAGTAGGCACTTTATACTAGCCTGCAGCCTTCGTTGAGTGACGAGTTCAACGTAGCGATAGCCACCATTTCTTTGCTCTGTTTGATTTCATCTGGTTTCACAACGCTGTTCGAACGAACGAAGAAAATGGACCCTTATGCGGTCAATGCTCTGTTCCAAGGTGTCATATGTTTCCCAAAGCACCTTTGACTTGACCAATACTAATTAGACGCCTCACTTTCTTGGAAACAACCTAGTGAGAGGAACTCCGCAGTCACCAATAAGAGCTTTCAGGCTTTGGGGAGATTGTTTGTGGGTTTGACTATTGTAATTTTCGGGAAAGAAAAGCCTCTGTATGGAGAATACCAAACCTGATAGTGACAATGTAGCTTTCATCCCATCACAACCCGTCTTCTAATTTATTGTTGAGATGGCAGAAGGAAATTTATCCAGCCCTCTGAAGTCTTCGTAGAGTCAAGTGGGTGAGGTAGAGGCACGCCCAAAGACGATTGAACGGCTCGAGAATTTCCGCCTCCGCCGTCGCCTTGTGTGCACAAACAGAAGCAAAGGCCGTACTCGGGTGGAGTAGTAGATCTGATGGTCTTAGCCGACACAAAGTCAAGTGGAGGTAAAGTCTGTCCCAATGGTGACGCGTCTTTGAAAAACCTCGACAAAAGTAAGACCAGGTCAAGACTGGTGGAAAGCATCCCGTTGAAGGAGGGTATGCATTCTACGCTATACTGTTTTCGGCAAAAATGCTGCGGCCACCCCCAGGAATACTATGGCAAGGGACAAGCGGAATGGCTTCGCTTTGCCATTCTTGGCTCATGAAAGATTGATCTCTGATGAAGTTTGGCTTTTCTCAGACAGTTGGGTTTCAAAATCTACAGCACGATTGATTCGATTTGTCGCAGTCACGGATATTGAGGTGGCGCTTGAGGTCGAGAAAGATACCGATTTGTCTTCTTTATGGTGTTAGTCAGAGATGAATCCTGTAAGCGCTTTGTACCACTCAGCTAATGGGGTTGTGAGTAACGGCATTTATTTGAATAATCTCTATGGAGATGACGGAACATGTTCAGGATGAAAAAGACATGCAGGCTACATTGTTTTAAGCTGGACTCCTTATCAGAGTTTCCCGAGGCGCCAGTCTGTCCAGAGGATCGGAGTATATGTGCAACATCTACCAGTGAAGCCTGAGGGATGTGCCAGTCTCTCCAATTCTCGAATAGCCGTCATTTACTGAATCCCGTGAACATTCCATGCCACAAAGGCTGACCTCAGCGGGACCGACCAAAAGTCTTCATGAACGTATCGTGATCCATATCACCATTGATAAGAACACTTCCACGTGTTATTGCCCCCCCCTGTTATTGTATGAGTCCGAGTCACATCTGCCTGTGGCCTGCTTTTCGCGTCACCATTCAGCACCCACGAGCCGCCACTTATTTCAGTGCGCCGGTGACCATCCTCACCACGCGTGCTGGTTTTCTCTGTCTCATGTGGAATTGGAAGATCTACAAGTGCTTGGATTTAGTAGATGAGGCAAATTGTACCTGAAGAATCGAGTTTCGGCTGATGGAGAAGGTACCTTGCTCAGTTTGCTGCGATCTCTTCGTGGTGGTGCGGGTGCTGTCTGAAGAGCCTGGAGAGAGCTTGAACAAACGATTGACAGCAACCCAGATGTTTGACATACCTCTACCAGCCGGGTGACACCCTGCATGATGCGCCTTTGGATCGGTGATGCTTGAGGTAGGTAGTGGACTGGGTCGCGGGGCAGGCCTCTAGTCATCCTGTCATATGCACAATGCTTTAGCATAAATTTCACATATAGCCATACCGGTTCACTTTGCTCTGTTTCGGAGCCGACAGCAGTTAGATAGGCGTGAGGCGTGTCGACTGCCTCGTCTTGGACCACGTCTCGGTGCGACGTGAAGTGCCGAAGGACCATTTGGAAAGGATTACTGAACAGCAAAGCTGTACACACGGAATGAGCAAGGAGAGCTTGCAGGTGAGTATTGCTACCACCTGAGGTTGGAAATTCTGGGTGAGTTGGGGCCTTCCAGGAGGGTAGGGAGACCTAGCTGGTGACTTGTGCACAGGCTTAGGCTGCATCGCTAGTCTACCAAAGCAGCCCAATACGATTTGTTTCGAAAGAAGACCCACAATGCTTTCTCTTGGGACTGATAGGGTCAGCTACGGCTCAAATCACCGAGGCTGATTCACCCAGAGTCTACGCCCGGAATCACATTCTCCACTTCCCAAGGTGGGATAGGCCCAAGACCGTTTCTCGGCAAACTGATGGACCCCTGTGCTTGACTGATCAACATTTGAAGCACCTGAACTGCATAGTGTAATGTTGTCAACCTGTGTGTCAGCAACGCGGGCCGATTGACCACAGTGACACTATCTCACTAGTCCCACATTATGAGCATCGGAAGCGGAACAGGTAGGGTGCATCTGCTTGGCGGAATTGGTTCCTTGGTATCAAATACCTGTTCAATAGTTCAATACGTAAGAATCTACGGATCCACACAGAGACATGGTCTCATGCATGACCGAAAGCAATCCTAGTACCCATTGCCTTGCTCGAGCAGGCTCGTGCGCGTAGTGGGAATATGAACCAAAGTTCGAGAGTGATCCTGGGGCCACTGCTCTAAAACAGGAAATGGATGTTCCTATCAGTGTCCAATAATGGTGATAGATAGGCAGTGGCGTGGTGATACCAGATATGAGGGAGACGGCGCGGTTTCCCACGTCGGGCATTCCTTTACAGGCTCCCCGGTCTTTTGGAGTGGCACCTTCCTTTCTTGGATCTTATGCCCCGACTGGTCAGTCGGGTTCGGCTGAGGCTGTTATGGCCTAGACTCTTGAAAATGCGTACTGTATCTTTTCATATAGATATTTACCAACTGCGGGCTTTACGCCTAGATTGACTGCGCAGTACCGAATTTTTAGTATCAGGCTTGAATATGCCCTTTGAAAAAATCGATATCATATTCAGCAGCTCAAAGCTCAAGCGGTCAGCTGAAATATGACAATTGAACTTGTATGGCTTGTGTTTTGCTTGAACGGCGAGCCCGGCTACAGAGTAATGACCATCTCGGCCCTCCGGAAAACAAGTTGCCAAAAGCAGGGCCAGAACGCTGGTCTGAGCGAAGTTTCTCTTCTCTTTCTTTTCAGTCCTGTAAATTGAACTTCCCACCTAGCGGCTTTATACTCACTGATCGCATCTGGCAGTGTCTTGTTTGCCCTCACACCAGCTAAATTGGAACATCCATTTGACTCGCCTTCGCAAACAGTCCAGGTATGCCATTCGACTGGGCAGGACTGGCCCGATAGCTCTAACAGAACTTTGCCAGCTTTCTGAACCTTGATTCTTCGAATACACACTATGGTGCATACGCCCACGAAGCGAGCAAAAGGGAGATTTCCCGACGTTGAGGATGGCCTCCTCACCTGGGTGAAATCTCAGCAGGAATTGGGGATAAATCCTAGCGACTGTGAAATCAGGGATAAAGCCGTGGCACTACGCACTATGCTAGGATGTTCGGAAGAACATGATGAGAAAATTCGCTCTCTTACTTGGATGGAGAGAATCAGGGTGAAAATAGCTCTTCAATGAAAGACCTTGTCCTCCGTATATATTATACTTATGGCTTTATCTTCCACTCCAAGCTCCTTCTCGCCTTGAAGATAGGTTGCATATGTTGATTTCACATATGGCTATATGAAGCACATGGTAGGGAATCAAAGCTGCTTGTGATTCTCGGAGTCGAGAAAGACTTTTGAAAACGTCCCATCACATAGTACCCGAGTTCTATAGACTTTGAACTTTCTCATATGGCTGGCATGTGTAGTCACCAAAGTTTCATGTCGAAGGGCCCAACATCTGTATATGCCGGCATTCCACCGACTGAGGGTGCGTTCAAATCGGTCCACCTCCCACCCGTCTAGCAAGATGAAGTGATTCAAGCCGAGGCACTTTTGATCTCAGGGCTCTGCCGTTGGCTCATGGTTGGCTCAGCAAGTCCTTGTCGGAGTAGGCTCGACTAGAAAGGAGCTCGAGAAGGACAGTAGAGCAAACTTCACAGCGAAGGAGCGTCTCTTATAACCTGACGGAACCGGCCCTTGACAAACACCAGTCCACCACACGGCTCAACATCAGTATTACCCAACTAGCTGCATAAGACGGGTACGACTCTCAATGATCAGAGAATCCTTTCGTCGATTCACGGTTTCATGTGGGGTTGCATTGAGTTGTCGAGCGTGGTGTCCGAGTAGGTTCGATCAGGGGGCTCGTCTGAATTGATGCGAGGGCCGAGAAAGATAAAAAGCTGATACCATGGTCTTATTGTTAGCTGAAATATACATGACTCGTGATGCAGAGTGAAATAGGTTTACCACCAAGAATCAGCATGATGCATGGCCGGGAGGTTACAACTGTAGGCAAGAGGTAGATTGAAGCGTCGAAGTTGTGGCGTGACTGGAAATGAGCAGTGCGTATTTATGAACTATAATCATTTCATCTCACAATGGAAGATATCATGTTGACCGATAAATTGGGACGTAGATGACGAAGGAGCGATGTTGGCCTCGAGGAAAGGAATGGAAAAGAAGTAGCGCCTGCGAGCCCGGACATGTTCCTACGACCCATTACTTCCCTACATCCACCCCCTACCATCCCAAGATCTCTTCCTCCACACAATGTCATCTCTACAGATTATCTGCCAATACTCTACTGTGTCACGATATTGACGTTATATCGATGGTTTAGCTTGACGACTATCGACATTGTCTGGGCGTGAGATGCTGGGCCCGGTCGCGTACGACCAAGTGATTTCAAATTTTGTCTGTGAGCAGTGAGACCTGGTTCTCGAGGTAGCCGTGATCCTCTTCTCTCTCACCGGCTCAGAATGGTATACACTCAGAAATGCAAGCCTGGTCTTTGTATGATTCATGGCTGGATTGTGTCTAGCCCGGTTGATTGCCACAGCTTTCCTCTGTTAGGGCCCCCGCCCAGCTTTGGCTCACATGGTACGTATCGTACTTCCCCAGAAGTAATTCCATCACGGAAAGCTAACTACCTGGTCTAGGGCTTCATCCACATGCTTGCATGCTCCACGTTGCAGAGCTTACTTTCGACGACCGCCGAGCTCGCGCATCTTGAGAAGACTGAAGGCCCAAAATGAGTACAATAAAATCATGAATGGATATTTCTGCTAGGTCAAAATCACTAAGTGTCTTCGAGTACCCCTTCTTCTTCTTCTTCGAGCTCGACACACCGGCAGCTGCGGCCAGTTTACTGAGCTGGTCTGCTCTACTTGGAACAATAAGCAACACCTCGCGTTCTGTATTGAGCTATTTTGTCCCTTGACTGATATTCTCATCCTTAGGATTTCAAGAGCTTCTTTCGCACGAAATGAATGACGTATCGCATTCCGTCCGAATGTATTACCGCATTACATCACAAACTAGCCTCTGCTTAGCCGCCGGGTATATCGCCTCGATGTCGCCGATTCGCATCGGAACCGCCTGGTATGCGGTCATGGAACCACGGGGTCGGGATTGCCATACAAGGCACCTCGGGTCTTTTTGGTAGAAGCGGGAACCAATTCAGAGGTCACTGGCCAGATGAACTTGAACAAAGCACATCAAATTCGGTGTGACCAACGATGATTATCGAGCCAGCCCACGTTGAAACCAGGGAAAATAATCAGCACTGAATATCAGTAGACTCGATTGACGTCGCTGATGAAAGGTCAGAGCTCATATTCAAGGAAGCGCAGCAAGCTTCTGCAATGATTAATTCAAAACCAATTGTCTGGAATACATTTCTAATGTCTTTATGTTCTCTACAGCAGTCCTAGCGGCCCTACCTCTAGCCCGACATGAAATACCTTCCGGACTCGTCGAATTCCTCCGTATCCCCAGTCTCTCCAGCAATTGTCGACCGCTATTGAAGCAGTGAAGAGCGCGATGAAAACTGGGCATAAGGTGCAGGAAACTGCTGCTCATCTCTAGATAAAAGCGGAAGAGGTCCCCATACTGCTCCGAGCGAGGAGCTCTGGTCGGTATATACCGTGTGAGCAAGAGGGCGGTAGGGGATGGTCATATCAGGCAAAACTTCCTCGATGCTCCAGGGCTCGAAAGAGGAATGACTATTGAAAGAATCAATCTGTCCTCTTTCTTGGGTCGGCAACAGACCCTCTTCCTGCTGCAAAAGTCTGCCCTCTTGCTGCGGAAGACTGCCATCTTGCTGCGGAAGATTGCCCTCTTGCTGCGGAAGACTGCCCTCTTGCTGCAAAAGTCTGCCCTCTTGCTGCAAAAGTCTGCCCTCTTGCTGCGGAAGACTGCCATCTTGCTGCGGAAGATTGCCCTCTTGCTGCGGAAGATTGCCCTCTTGCTGCGGAAGACTGCCCTCTTGCTGCGGAAGACTGCCCTCTTGCTGCGGAAGACTGCCCACTTGCTGCGGAAGACTGCCCTCTTGCTGCGTAGCTATTACAGACACTAACAGACGTTCTATAGCTTCACGCGCCGCCATTGCTTGTCTCCCAAGAAGAGTCCCAGTTCCATCACTCTTCAGGCTCTCTAAGGCCGAAACGGGAGTACAGAATACAAATCCGTTGATCTTTCGAACAAATGCCTGCTTTGGATCTTTGTGGTGAGGGGCCGTTGATTTCTGAGGCTCATTGGAAATGGAGGAGCTCAAATGGCATGAAATATTAATGTCGTAGAATTCGATCAAGCTTTGGATAGTTTCGGAAGTCAATTTAAAGCTCATCTCATTACGTGATATTGTGTCAACATGTACGACATGCGCTTGGATATAGCGGGTCTCTGTAAGGCTTGCTTGAGACGGCCCATATTCCTGTCCGGCTTGGTATAAAACTTGAAACAAATCGGTCTCACAAATTGTCCATATAGCAGTGTCGGGTGCTAGTAGTATACTCAGCAGTGTTGCCTGTCTGGAAGAGTCCTTTCGCTTGCGCATGGTGTAATCTTCCGGCTTTGCCTGTCTAAGAACTTTCGCCAGCGAGTCCGAATACTTTGGATTGAGCACAATATACAATTTGTCACGAGGAGCAAAAGCCTTCGCTGAAGACGGAAGGAAAGGCCGGCGGCGCATGGCAGAGATGGAGTACAGAATGGTTGAAGCTCTCGCTCGTGGAGACAAACGGGGGTTGTACGGTTTGCCATGCAGAAGCGCCCCGTGGCGAACTCACTCGAGATAATAAAGCAGGATCATCATCCTGGCTAACCAAGTTAGAATTAGCCTGTTTTCCTCATTGCCAAGCTGGAGGAGATCTCAGGCCCCAGCAGCTAACGCGGTCCACTCTTCCGAGTTAGATACAGACTATTGGTCAGGAGCCTTCATTTGGCCCAGCTTCGTGCCTCGTATTCAATTGTCCAGAAGTGAAACCCCATGCTTTGGAGCGATATCAGAGTTCTGCTTTGGGTGCTGAGCTCATGGACAGTCAATTCTGAGACGAACCTACTCATGTAGCTTAATGTGGTTTTTGCACTTCGCAGGCCGGCCTAGGGCGCTCGTCCCCTGTTACTCAAACTCGCATAGCCTTGGACAACGACTTTAGCAAAATGAGGCCGTAATTTACAAGCGTATACGGTCGGGACCAGCTGTTTGGACTACAAGTTCTGCTGGGGGTAATATATTCCTTTCGTAGTAAATTACGCTCTCTGCATATCAGCTATTAGTGTTATTCCCACCTTTCCCCAAGATCTTGTCCGTTTCTACCATCCGATTTCTTGTCTACTTTCAACCCATTCATCTCACCTCACCAACGCGTCCGCTTAAGTCACAAGCCAAGTCGCTACAATTTCATCACTCCACTTGGCCCAATTGTCCGATAACTTGACATCAGCTTTTCTAAACCTGCAAGGTTGACGCAGTCCTCTTCGCGTGATCATAATTACTTTGGTTTTTATGAAACATTCGCGAAAGTTTCAGCTGCCATGGACGCTCGCGTGCTTTTTGAGTCACTGGAGTTGTTTCATTCATGCGGTATCATTTTTCTGATCTCCATCTTCGCCGCTTGTTCTTTTTCAATACTGTTCAAGCGATATCAAGCTCTAAAAGGAGTAGCACCGCTCCAGGATTCTACTGATGCAGGAGACCCTGAACAGAAGCAGGAGGATTCCCGGGCTGTGAAGCGGCTATTCGCTGGGCTCTCTTCGCTGCTGTTCGCGACATCCCTCACAGAAGGATGTGCCTCTTTGCTGGCTACTTTCCAACTTCCCGGGAAGCAAGGGCATGTATACTTGATTATAGTAAGTTCTTGACTGGCACACACTTTTCGGAATCAATGACAACCGACTGACCATGAGAGCAGATCTACAGACTGAGCATTTCCGTCCTTTACGCAACCAAGCTGATTGTTCTGATTTACAATAACGCACCCCCGACGGTGGCGCATCTCTTTTGCTGGCTGATTGCTATTCCATTTGAAATTGCTACATTCAAGGCTTTTCGGTCGACCAAGACATTGGTTCCTACGAAGTCGGACGCACTCACAGGGGATGGCAGCTGGTTTTCGGAATTCATCGAAACCGCGGCGGACAATTTGATCTTCGAAGCCGTTCGAGTCATTACACTGTGCTTTCTGATCATTCTCTATCGATTACTGTATACCTCGAAAGTCAATAATAGAAAGGCCAGCGGATCGGTGCATCAAACGCATCCCCGTGGCTCTTCCATCAATGCAGAGCGCACCCAGAGCCATGAACAAAGCGAACGGGCCGAGGACGTTGAAATTGTACATTCGCAGCAGAAAACCGAAAACACGAAACGGACACCGTCGGTTGGCTGGCGGAAATGTTTCACGAGCTACAAAGCCCTGATTCCCTATATGTGGCCCTCAAAGTCACGTCATCTACAGCTTGTTGCCTGTCTCTGCTTCGCTCTCATGGCTTTCCAGCGTATCGTCAACATTCTCATCCCCTCTCAGACGGAGGCCATGTTTGCAAGACTCCTTGACGTCTCAAATAATTCCTACCGGGATATTCTGCGGTACATTATCTACATCTGGCTCCAAGGCGAAAAAGGACTGCTGAAATCCCTGCATTCCATTCTCTGGGACCATGTCAGGCGTCATTGTTCCATGCAGCTCTCCACCGCTACTTTCAAACACGTACACGATCTAAGCTTGGACTTTCATCTAGGCAAGCAAAATGAGGACTTGTTGTCGGCTATGAGAGACGGGGAAGCGATCACTGCGTTTTTAGAATTGGTAACATTCCGGATCATACCTACATTCGTTGATTTCGGCATCGCAGTGGGCTGTTTTTGGATCCTCTTTGACAAATACACGAGTCTCATGTTATGTATCTTGATATTCGGCTACATCTGTTTGACTGCACGCCTGGCCAAGGGGGAAAGCAAGCTCCAAAGACGAACGGTCGTCGCTTACCGGGAAGAATATTCCGTCAAGTAAGTGTCGGGACTTCGGCGCTTCGAAATACAGTACTGACATTCGGCTACAGGAATGCATCACTGAAACTATATGAGACAGTGAAATACTACAATGCGGAACAGTACGAGGCAAAGCGCTACTGCAATGCCATTGAAAACCGCCAGATCGCCGAGTATCGATACTCGCTGTATCGAGCGCTGTCGGATAATTATCAGCTTGCTTTCTTTATGATCAGCTTTTTGGCCATTTGTCTCATGACAGCGCATCGAGTGTCGCAAGGGCACCTGTCCGTTGGCCAATTCATGAGCTTGACGACGTACCTGTTGCAATTACGCAGTTCTTTGAACTTTGCCGCTGGTGTCTCTCAGTCGGTCCAGACACTCCTGATGAATTCAGAAAGAACATTAAAGCTGCTCCAACAGCAACCCGCCGTTGTAGATAGTCCCCAGGCTCTTCCGCTCATAACATGCAGGGGTGAGATCCGGTTGGAAAATGCCACGTTCTCATACGGTGGCAAGAAAAATGCCGTAAACGGAGTTTCTTTCCATTGTGCAGCCGGGACTACGACTGCCTTGGTGGGCGAGTCTGGCCAAGGCAAATCAACCGTATTTCGGCTTCTCTTTCGATTTTACAATCTGCAGGCGGGCGGCATCTTCATTGACGGACAAAACGTACACCACATATCAATCGATTCTCTTCGCAGGCATATCGGAGTTGTACCACAGGATGCAGTGCTCTTCAATGAAACGGTGATGTACAATTTGAAATACGCTCACCAGGATGCGACAGAAGAAGACGTATACGAGGCTTGTCGTGCCGCCGGTATACACGACACAATCCTGGGGTTTTCCGACGGATATGCCACCATGGTTGGCGAACGAGGACTCTGCCTGAGCGGTGGTGAGAGGCAGCGCGTGGCCATTGCTCGCACGATACTGAAAGGAGCAAAGATCATCTTGCTAGACGAAGCCACGGCCTCGCTCGATACGAACACCGAAGAACACGTGCAGAAATCCCTTGCAAATCTTGCTCATGATCGGACCATACTCGTTGTTGCTCATCGGCTTAGCACGGTGACAGGTGCGAATTCCATTCTAGTCTTTCACGACGGTCAGGTGGTTGAGCGAGGTACTCATCAGGAACTCCTCAATCTGAAGGGCCGCTACGCCTCTATGTGGTGGAAGCAAACCAGGGTGCAGACCAAGGAGGAAACCAAGGAGGAAAACGTGGAGGAAACCGAAGAGAAGACCTAGGGACCCGAGGAGACCAAGGCCCGGTTAAGGCCTATGGGCAATACAGTACGCAAAAAGCTGCAGAGGTTGATCAGTCATGTTTCGCTATTCCGGCGGAAATGAAAACGCAGCCTCTAGAAGATAATCTGGCAGTCTGCGAAAGACGATTACCGGCTGTCTTCAGTGGAAGTTTCCCAGTCAATCAATCAACTCCGTCATGTTTGACAGTCGTCGTAGCTCTTGTCCTATATATTTAAACAGCCCTTGATCTCATCATGTACGCAACAGGCCCTCGATTCAAAATGATTCCATTCTTGAAGTCACATTGGACATTTTAAACATCAACACTGATAAAACTGTGACACCACTGGTTTTTCTTTGTGCCAAAGGTACAAATAATTCCGTGTTGCACTCATCTGACAAGAGTATGGTGGAAAACAAGTTGAAATTTTGTTGCATTCTTCTTGAATACGCTTAAAGATGCACCAGGCAGCCTCAACTTAAAGGTCGGGCAGGAACCCATTTTACATCTCATTTCACACTGTTCTTCCACTCTAGGGCATAAGGAGCCACCATCATCACCCCTCAGACACGATCGCGATCACATTAGATGATTTTGACGGAGGTGGTGCCCACCACAAAGACGAAAGTCAAGGGCACTTATGACGGCCTGGCGTGTGTCTGGCAGGATTTGCGATGATTCTTCTCATTCATGACCTATGGACCATCGCTCCGGTTTCATGTTGAGAACCAGTAGACATAGCCAGCTTTATTTCATGTATATTTATTCACTTCAGATATGACAGAGCACGATGAGTTCTAGCTAATATCATCAAAATACAGCATGCAGGAAACGTTCCACTTCCAGGGTGAAAAGTCCTTCAACCCATTGTAAGACCCTGTTGGTAGATCTAGGTACTGTAGCAGCGTGAGCTGTGGCTACATTTCCCGTAGCGACGTCTTCGCAGAGATCCTTTGGATTTAAAAGGCTGCTCCGGAAGCTGGTCTGATTTCGGAAGTCTAGTCTTTAAGAAGTTAAAGAGACGGCAAGGCTTCTCAGAGTGTGAAGATCCACTGATAGCCGTCACAAGTTCAATGGCAACACGGTTTATCTGTAGGAGCGATTCACGATCCTGGATCAGGCGATGGATAGCGGCATGGCGGATCGCGGAAACCGGGCCCTTTAGTTTCAGTAGGGCGCTAGTGGCTTGATGGAAGGTACTGAGCTGCATGTTGGTCTTGTTTTTCGCCAAAAATGTGAAAAATGTGTGTAGCTCTAATTCCTCCGGACACGTCCACCCATTCATGAGAGACTTCTCCGGAAGCCACTTTTGAGCGAACTGGAATGCATGATACTCGAGGTGTTGCTGTATGGCTTGAAGGATTCGATTTTGAAATCAAAGGGCCTATCCCGAGGATACCGCACATGGATCCCCGAAAATACAAATTTGATCCTGGGATCTTGAGCGAGCAATCTAGGATCTCAAGAGCTCCCAGGACCGGTCAAGATAATCCTCGCACTTATGTCAGGGATATACACGAAGCGGACACGCTAACGGAGGAAACGGGCCCACATGGCGCATCTGGGTTCCCCTGAACGCGAGGAAGCTACATTCCTTTTGCTTCCTCGCCCTACGTCTTGTATCTAGAGTCGACTATAGCTTTCTTAATATTGTTTATTCATTTGGAAGACACGCTCCTCACCAAACGATACGTGAGATCCTCACAACCTACCAAGCTGTATATGGGATAGGTCTTCAGGGGTCTGGGACTGATAACGAGTGTTTTCAAAATCTCCATCCTGCTTTGTATGCTAGGCCTTACTCTTCCTCATCAATTCTATCTTGTCACTTGAAATTATAAATTCATCGTCCTTCCTCCCCACCCTTCCTCATCACAAGAATTACCGTTGAATCAAGTGTGGAAGCTAAAATGACTGCAAAAACCCATGATTGTGTGGAACTGCCTCCACAGGACCTGTCTGTGGAGAAATCTATGTTTCGGCTGCGTAAGTCGCTCAAGCCGATCTTCGCGAGTATCATCTAATCTATGCCTCTAGGTGTTTTTTCCTTCGTGTGAATCCAAGCTCGACGAAAATTCATACGGCGATTAATGGACCAACTTAGAGACAAGCGATTTGCACCGACTCTCCAGGGCAATCACCACTCTGCCTGACCAATCCCTGAAATGGCTGCTGGGAATAGGGGTGACCATACACTATCAAATTTCCCTCACCCAGCATCAGGTGGCCATGAGCCTCTCTGGACCGCCCCCCTTCTTGAACTGTCCCATATTTGAAATTGCCTGTGCTGGCGAGGTTTTGTCGCAGCCTCCAATATACCTGCAGCGACCTCTTCGTGCCAAAACGGACATGAAATGCGAGAATCCGCAATGGCTTAGGGTTGCTGGAAATTCAAACAGCTCGATTCTCTATGTGGGGGAGACCAAGTACTTCAGAAAGCTTGTGAATGCACCTGGGAGATATTTGCGTTCCTAGCGCTTTTTGCATTCAGATTTGTTCTATGTATTCTGTCTTGTCATAATACATTCAAGAAGACTCTGGTTGTCGATCGCCATATCTGTACCAATGGATAGTGTGATAATCGCATTTCTACATTCTGTAATATCAGTCCCGAAAAGCAGTATAGACAGACATCAGGTATAGAATCGTAGTCACTGGGCGCCCCTTGACCATTGATCTCAGTAGATCTGGAATTCCAACATAAAAGGCTCTTTGGCTAGCATTGGCCGAAGTCCGACTGATGGTCTCAATCATCGATGTTTGTTGTCCCAGGCGGGTCAAAATAAGAGCTGTAGCACCACAATCAATGCAGCATGGCTGCAGTACACTCAGTGGAAATCTTTTGAGTGGGCGATGGCTTAGACCCTGAAGATTCGATCATCAACAAGTGAAGCGACTTACTCAGAACACAGCATGATCGCCGGCCTCTGTTTTGAATCAACAGCCAATCCTGAAGTGCAGATGATGGTGATAAAGGTGCATGCTGTCGCAGTCGAGCGATGATCGCTGCCCATCGTGTTCAACTGTTGAAAATAAGGTCGTTGAGACAAGGTTGATCGTTGATCAACGCTCTTCAGACACAATAATAATTAAATTAAACATTAAAAAAAAAAAAAAATTTAAAATTTTATTATTATGTTAAAATTCCAGAAATTGACTTGAAGGCATGATTCACTCTGACCATGACCATTCACTTTTCATCTGCTTGTTGACTTTTGCATAGCCCGTCAGCCCTGTAAGTCGAGGTTCAACAGGACTGACTTTGCACGGGTTACTTCGATGCCCTCGAAAACAATGCCCCCAAAAAGCTGCAGACAGAAAATACTTTACCGCGGCAATACAAAGCAGGCGGTAACAAGACCAGTCAAAAGACCTATAAATATGGCCTCCCTCCCTCGGTTCTCTGTCGAAATAAGTATCTTCCTCATTGTATCTGACGGATACCCATGCAACAGAGTCATGAGTCCCTTCTCCTTGACCCTCAGCATTCACTGTGACTGACATCCTCGGTGCACACAGAAGCCACCGAGTCACCTGGCCCCCTCTACCCACTAGCGGTTCACTCCACTGTACCCGTCTTCGTGCCTGCGGGCCAGAGCCTGAGCCTTGACTGGCGAGAATCCTTTGGTGAGTGCTGTATCGATTTGCCTTGTCGAGTGGAGCTAACAATGGGACTTCTGACTAGCTTCTTTGACCACCAGAGTGCAAGTGAGGCATCCTGCAGGTAAGTCCTTTGTCAGCCGCATACCGTCGGACAGTGCTGAAACTCCCAATGTTACGACCGGCCAGGTCTATACAATAGCCCCAATTCAGCACTCCAGGGTTATACAACTACCTGTCAGTCACACCGATAATAATCCTCATGAGACAAACTTTGGTTCCACTGCTGTCATGTGCTTGTCAAACAGTGCGTCCAGCGAGATCACCAGCGAGACCTCTGGTTATCGAACACCGCCATCCTCGAGCCTTTCCCATGCACATGTCGCCGTTATCCTGGATGGCTCGGGGTTCTGATAGTGTTTGAGCAAGGCTACTGGTGCACGTTATCGCGGCCACAAGTTATGTGTGGTTGAACGTTTGTCGAAATAGGTACGCCTGCTCGATGCTTCTGCCCCATCACCACCCATTAATCGTCAGCCATGATCGTGGCTAGGGGACAGACGGAACCAACCGACCTCATGAAACTACAAGACGGAAGATGCGTTGGGTCGGTTTAGGGTTGTGACTTGTCTCCCCAAGACGACTCTTTTACTGTCTTGGTAGTGTCGTCCGTCGTAGGTGCAGGGTGAGACTAGATAACAAGACCGTGAGTAGCCCTCATTATCAGACACATGCTGACTATATTGCAGGGCCACTAGCCAAGACACTGCGAGACATGACGTGCAGCTGAACGAGCCTCGCATGCATCTTCTATCGTCACCACCTTCGCCATGAAAGCGATGTATCTCGCTTTAGCCAGTTCGAAGTGTCAGTCGACGAGAATTGGAATTGCCGGATCCCTCGTTTTTTTCCCTCTTACCCACCGATGCCGACTGAATTGCAGTCTTAGCCGAGAACCAGCTCTTACTCCACTTTCTGGGAAGTGGAGGCAACCATGCGACCAACATACCGACCGAGAACACACGATGCGTTGTACATGGATGCAGCGATATGCTTAGTGGTCGGAAACCTTGATGGTGAGATCGGCATCCTCACCTGTGGGGGGTACGAGTGAGAAGAACGCCGGAAGTCTATCCGATAGGTGGACAGATTTTGCTTTTCGGGACAGACAACGATCGGCATGGACCAGTCCAAGAAGATGACCATGGAGCATGCAGACCTGCCATAAGGCTCGTCACTTTCTGCTATTCTCCTACCCCTATCAAATATGGTGTCGTTGTCTCCAGAGTCGTTGTCTCCAGAGGATAGAGAGTCATCGCTTTCGACGACAGTGATTCCTTTGGAGAGACATACGACTGTCTTGCAACAGCAGATCGCAGGCATATAATTCATCCCCTTC